GAAAATGGGAGAGGGGTTTGTGCTTGCCGAGTTGGGCAATCCGTTTGTGAAGCCGGTTAATTTGGCAGAAGCTTGACGGACTCTGTCGCAAAGACTGGACGGCGTAGTAGGGTGATGATAAAGGAGCGCATAAAGCGTCTTGGACCTTTATAGGACGGGTCTTGATAGTCGTGGCCCTCGGTCATTGTCAATAGGTTCAAGTTGGAGCCAACAATGGTGAACGGGATGTGTCGGCCCGGGTGGGAAATATCACGTGGTGCCCGACTCAACATGCTTGTCTTTATTTGCTGATGTCGGTATTGTGGCTGCAAACAAAGGAGAGAAAGTGAACATCGACAGCGCCATTGCCACAGTCATCGTCGACGCCGGCCAACTCAACCCTATCTCCCCTTGCGGTCTCTTTTGTGACGCCACTGGGCCCAAGCTTTCGAAAGATAGCCAACATTCAGCCCTGGATAGCCGGCAAACCTTCAAGAACTGACTGATATTTGGGTCGGGGGGCGATCCCTACGTATTTCTGCGTAGTAAATATTGGTTATGGCTCACGCAAGACGGTCACCCCAATATAGAGCACCATCCTCGTCTATCAGCTCTCCGTCGACAACCCGTAGAAACCTTCGCAAGCGCGCTCCTCCACGATCACCAACGCGTATACCGGACGAGTTCATATCCTCCCCTCTCCCACTGCGCCATCGGCCTGTCCTCGTTCCTCTACACCCGAATCTGCGCCGTTTGCCCTCTAGAATCTACGTCGCCGAGAAGGACCAGGACTCAGACCAGCTGATGCGCGAGTCAAGTCATGTGATCACTGGCTCTAAACGAAAGCGCGTTGTGAGCACCAATGAGAACGCGCACACTCATGGTCGCCCGACGCGTGGTTCGGGGAGGCTAAAGCGTATCAAGACTTCTGTGACGACCAATGCTCGCTACCACGCTGTGACAAGTGAGGAGAGCCAATCAGAAGCTAGTGAAATGGAGGTGGATCTTGTGTCTAACCTGAGTCCGGGGTCTGATGACTCCGATGTCGAGGTTGAAGGAGAAGAGGGCGGTGAGGATAGAGATTTTAACGAGGACTCATGTACGTATAGTCTTCGTATCATTCGCGCCTATGCTCATACTTTCATAGCTGACGAGTATTACATTAATACTGCGTCTCCGAAGAACTTGAACCGGTTGCTCAAGGCTCGGCTCGTCGAGCTTTATGAGCTCGCTGGCCTCACTGAGGACCCGGGCAACCTCAAGAAGTCCGAGATAATCGATGCTATTGTCAATGCTAGGGACGATGTTGCTTCTGTGCCTCCATCCTCACCACCTCGAGGCGATGGTGCATCCTCAGACTACTCGAGCGACGATGGTCATTTCGCTGGAGATGAAGGGACTGACATTGGTGGCCCTCGGCATCCTTCCAATGGGAGTGCTCTTCGTAGGCGGGTTACTCTTCACGACATTAGCAAAACGCCTTCGCGGCCGTTGAAGAGTCGGAGCCTCTCCATGGGCAATCTGTTGGGTAATGGGGAACCTCCGCGATCCTTGTTAAAACGGAAAGCAGCGGAAACGAACGGCCAGAGCGAAGGAGCTCCTTCAAAGTGAGTCGTAGCTTGCATCACGCCACAAATCATGAGCTATATCTGACCTTTCCACAGACGCAAGGTTTCCACCCGGTCTTCCTCAGCCAACAGTGCAACAGGCTCTCTGGTCCATCACTCACCACCAGCGACGAGACTTCGCACCCGCAATGCCTCTGGATCCCTTCCCGGGACAAGCACCCCGACGTCTACGTCTAGCAGAAGTAAAGGGAAGGGGAAAGCCAAACAGGTTGAATTCAGCAATGATGTTGAGGTTCATGTCCAGACACCCTCTAAACGGAATTCCAAAGGCAAACAAGCAGACCGGCCAGTGGATTCCGAGAGTGATCTCACTGAACTCGAGTCGGAAAAGGAGATGGCCATTGGCGAGCCCAGCCCACGACGACTACGAAGTAAAGACCGTGAATGCGCAGCCGTAGCTAAAGGAAAGGGGAAGCAGGATCCTGAAGCCACCCCCGTCGCTTCTTCCAAACGAAGGAAAACGCCCAAAAAGGTTGAGGTTACGGAGGATGAAGAGGACGCCCATGTCTATTTGACAGAGCATCCTACCCGCAAAACTCCCATGCGGAAGGCAAAGAAAAAGATCGGCAACTTGAAAGAGTCCGATTTAGAGGAAGGGCAAGAGGAAGAGGACGAGGATGAAGGTTTAGGAGATGAGTGTGAAGAAGTGGCTGATGATGGCGAAGGCGAGGATGACGCGGAGGAAGAGGAAGTTGACGAGCTTGTTTCATCCGCCTCTATCACACCTCCCCCTGAGTCTCGTGGGCGTCGCACCACAACACGGAGACGTCTACGACCAAGGCGAACCCGGACGAAGACCTTGCCGACAGGTGACGACGCCAATGAAGGTGATGACGAGGAGGAAGTTGAGGGAGACGAGGAGCAGGAAGACGAGGATGGTACAGAGCAGGAAGATGATGACGAGGCCACGATTGCCGTTGAGCCGCGGCGGTTGAGAAATGGCAAGATTGTCGGAGAGGAAGAGGTGGCGGATGAGGAGGAAGACGAAGAAGAGCAGGATGCTGAAATGGAAGTTGACGAGGAGTCGATCGGAGAGGAAGACGAGGAAGATGAAGCCGAAGATGAAGCCGAAGAGGGGGAGGGGGTAGAGGAGGAGACTGAGAGCGCAGACGGCTCAGAGATCGATGTTGACGCTGAAGGCGAAACCGATGAAGACGAGGCAATGGAGGAAGAAGGTGAGGGCTCATCAACATACACTTATCGCCAGCTCTGACATGATCTCTTTTGCAGTCGATTTGACGATCGCGACTGCCAAAACCCTTGTTCGATTGCGCCGGGATGATCTCGTTCGCCTCTGTGAGACGAGAGATCTCGACCCTTCCGGCACAAAGCCTCAACTCGCCGAAGCTTTGCTTCAATGGAGAGACCGCCATGCCAATGATTTCTCCTCGCCATCTTCAGCAGGCACCGTCCGTCCATCATCGAACAGGCGCAGACGACGGGGCAAGAATTCGAATGCAACTTCTGCTACCAATACAACGGTTCCTGTTCTTCTCCGTTCTGAACATACCCATACGGACGAGCCGCGAACTCCGGTTCCCGGCAAGGAGAAGGAGAATGAGGAGTTGGAACTCGACTTGGAGAGTCTTGGCCTGGAGGATAGGGAGATACCTGTTGACAAGCTGACCAAGCTCGAAAAGATTGGAAGCGGGGGCTTCAAGGACGTATTCATTGGCAAGTTCAAGAATCGGAAGATAGCCATCGCTGAGTTCAGAGGACAGCTGAGTGCCAGTGCGTCGTGCTCGTGACTTCATGTATCTTTGATATTGATGTCTGTCTTCTAGTGGACATCAAGGAACTCAAGCTGCTGGGTGCTTTCAATCATCCAAACATCGTTCGATTTGTATGTTTGCTTTCCATCTTTGATCCTCACTTTTGACGTTCTTGTCCATCAACAGTTGGGTGTCAGTATACCTGAGAACACGAAAGAAACCCCAGTCATGATTGTCAGCGAGTTGTGCTCCAATGGTGATCTTTTCGATTACATTAGGAACGTGAATGCGCCTAGCTTGCACAAAGTCGTACGTATTTTGACCCTTTGCAACGGCGCTACCCATTCTAAACCTGCAACATATAGCTTACGATGATGCTTAACATCGCTCACGGCCTGGAGTACCTTCACACACGCAAGCCATCCATCATTCATCGTGACTGCAAGTCCTCCAACATTCTCATCACCGCAAAGGGAGCAGCGAAGATTGCAGACTTCGGACTTGCCAAGGTGAAGCAGTCGACAAGGTCGATGGTTCGCAGTTTGGTGGGCACGGTCAACTGGCAAGCGCCGGAATTGTGGCACGCACATCCCAAATACAACCACAAAGTCGACGTATTCTCATGTGCCATGGTGTTTTGGGAGATGCTTCAGTGGCATCTGCCAACGAAGAAATTCCCCTGGGAGGTTCGTCTTGTCTCATCATATCTCCAACTCCATGATCTAAAGTCTGCGGGCAGGGAATGAATGAACATGCTATCTACGAGATTGTTGGGACGAAGCGACAACGGTATGTTGTTTTGTCACTGCTCATCCCTTGCCATGGCTCACGTCCGATTTTTTTTGCAGTCCGTCCATCGCTGGTCTTCGAAAGCAATGGTGTCCTGAGATCATTGATCTCGTAGAGCGTATGTGGGCCCAGGAACACCAAGACCGGCCTACCATGACTGAAGTGGTAGAGGCTCTTGAGGAACTTGTCAAGAAATACTGATTGGCGTGGATATTGCACGCGTGCCCCTAACTTTTCTCCTGTCAGTCTATTCTAAGTGTACCAAGTTTTTCGCTTCCATTCGCATTTGCATAAAACCTGGATAGTCATTACAGATTTTCATTCTTCTTTTGTTTTATCTATGCTTATATTGTAGACCACATTGTATGCCTCCTCGAGAAGCTGCTTTCCTGTTTCCTACATTCCTCCTCGTTTGTGTCCAACGCAACTTTGATTAGCTACAAGTCCTACACATCTGCTCTCAGTGCCGTCGATATCCCCCATACATTGTATCTTAGCTCAAAGCAATTGACAAAACATCCAAAATGCAATTTCAAGAGGAAAAATAAGGTATGTTAGGGGTGGTGGGATGGTACAAGGATCTTCTCCTTAGTATCAGTCCACATGAATCTGCTACATTCTCTCTGCTTTGAACCTGGACGCTTTTTTCCTGGGCCCGGCTTCTGAAGACGCCGTGCTGATTGTATTTTGTGAGTTGATAGGAGCAATCTTTTCTCGTTCGCGGACAGCGCTCGAAATAATCGCTGGAGGTCGTTCAGGTCGACTGGAACTCTGACTCGAGGGAAACGATGGCGACTCCATGGCCATGGAAGGTGCCGGGACATCAGAACTATCCAGCGGCCCTTGTGACGCTAAATTGGGAAAAGAGGGTGATTCAATAATCATCGAAAATTGCGGAGGGATCTGCTGAGAAGGTGATTTGCCTGGTTGAGGGGAGGCCATCGCGGTTGAAGGACCAGCAATTGCTACCCTTCCAGAGACGATTGCAGACAGAGGAGCCGCTGGCGCGGAGGTGCCCAGTTTCGGTGATGATCTTGCAGCATCTGATACTGGCGTCACTGAAGGTGAAATAGGCTCCGAATTGGGCCCAGAGGGTACGCGTGTTGTCGACGAAGATGAAGACGGCCTACCTGCAGCGACACGAGAAGCCTTGAATTTGGATGTCTTCGAGCGCATACTTGGAGGCGGTAGTGTTGACGAGGCGATAGGGTTTTGAAGGTCCACCTGCTTAGATGATGAAGCTCCAGAGGGCGAGGAAGTAGAGGGCGGGATGGTATGCAGATACTCTTCGTTAGGGCCGATATTGTAGACCTCGCCTTTTCGGAGGAGCTCGAGTACCTGCTGCATGCCTTGGTCCTCTTCCTCGCTGGCGCTATCTGCTTCTCCTCCAACAAGTTTACCGTCTTCATCTATATTACCAGTCCTGATCGCGCCTTGAATTGTGCGAGCAGACGAAGCAGGAAGGATGGTATCACCAAGAGATATTGCTTCTGAAGATGGCACAGAAGCATTGAAAGCGGCCGCTATTTTTTCTGCTCTGAATTGCGAGATAGCAGGTCTGGACGTGTCTGGCATAAGATCAATATCCTGCTGCTAAAAAAGGCAATGAGTCATGAAAGGCGGGAAAGGACAATAAGAGCAATATCGAACCATCGGGCCATCAGCGTCATGAGAGTGGTTTTTCATGGCGGCGGCGGCTTCTTGTCCGATAGCGTTGCGTTTCTTGTGGTATTCGAGGGCGATTTCCCGCTGATGCCGAGCGAAGTCAAGGTCCACTTCGTCAGTTTCGAGAACTGCTTCCTCCTCTTCCTCTGTATCTGTGTTGGGGGCGAGATCGGGGTCGGGGTCGGATTCGTCATCTGAATCGTTAAGCGGTCGGGGAGGTGGGCTGATATTTTTGGCAGGCGGCCGCTCTGTAGGGTATCGTTCCACTACCGTCATTTTCATGGGGTGTTTATCAAGCGCTTTTTGGGACATGAGAGTAGGCCGTTTTGTAGTGCGCAGTGTCGCCGGACTAACATCGCCCCAATCAGGGCCTTCAGGTAATTCCGCTTGTGACCCTTTCTCGATGTCTTCTGTAGATTCCGCGAATGCAACTGTTTTCTTTTTAATCGACGGTGACTTGCGTTTATCCACCTCTTCGTCTCGTCGACGTTGTACTTCTAGCTCCTGCCGCTCCAACTCCTTTTCCCTACTGAAGTTCTGCAGTAGCGCACGGCCCATCTTTTTCTGCAGTTCTCGAGCAGCCTTCAAACGATCCTTGTCTTTGAGTGCCTCTTCCTTGCGTTTTCTAACCAACTTCTCTCTTTCCCTTGCTTCAAATTCGTTCTCCGCCAATTCAGCTTGCCTTTCCTCTTCTTCGAGCATGTCCAGGATACGGTGACGCTTTTCGCGAAGACGCGCTTGCACAGAAGAGTCGAGCGTAAATACGGGAAGTAAAGGCTCCACCGTAATAGGCGTAGGTAGGGAGACTGATGAAAAGGATTTTCTGCCATCCATTGGCTCGGTGATTTCAATAATAGGCAATCCTTCCTCATTGACCAGCTAAAGAAGATTTGAGTAATCGCTAACAGACGTCCTTAATGGGAGCATACCTCACCCCTCTCGTTGCGTTTCTGCTTGAGCTTTTCAATTCCCTCTTCGCCCACGAGTTCCTTGAGCTTGTCCGCAAGCTTGTCCACTATATCGCCGTTTCCATTGGAACTATTTGCTAGTTCTGGAGCGATGGACTTTACAAGTGCCTGCAAAGCTGAGACATTGAAACTGAATCTGTTAAACTGCGCTTGCAAATTTTCAGTTCGCTCACATTCCTGATGGGCCTCGTCTAAATTTTGCATGTTGCACAAGGAAAGAGGGTCAACAAGGGCCTGCAGTGTTGAGAGCAACCTGTCCGATCTGTAAGCGAGTGACGACATGCGATGTGACTGATGGTGTTTATGTGTGACCGACGCGACTTGTATGTCACATAGCTTGTTGACCGCCGACCGCCAGCGACGAATTGCTCAACTTCACCTAAGTTCCGTGTTTCTTGTTCTCTTTACACGAATAACACGCATCTGGCGACAGAAGAGCTCCAATAACTATGTTTGTGGCGACTGGGCTTCTAGGGACCCCCTCATTATTGCAAAGCAGCTCATCGAAAGACCTCCCCGAGTCCACTACTTTTGTGGCAACCAGTTTACTGGGCGAACCACACCGTGAAAAAAAACAAGACGAGCGCAATTCTTTCGTCAGCTCGTCAAGGGAAGCCCTACCACCTTACCATGAAGCTGAGCTGGCAGCATTCATTTCGACCGGACTTTTGGGTGCACCAGCGGGAAGCGGGGAAATAGAGACGCGACCGGCTGCGGGACCGTCATCGCCCTCAAATCGAAGTACGTCTCGCAAACTACTTTATCTCACTTTCATTACTTAAATTTGGGCAGTACAAGAGCGAGACGCCTTTTCGTTTGTTAGCAACGGTCTGTTCAATCCAATCCCTCCGGAAGTTGATACGGAAGGTGAAACTTTTCCCATCGCCTGTTCAACCATACCGATGAATGTCCCTAGATGATGATATTCCTTCTGTTTGTGAGGCATTTGGTATTCGTTCGCGCCTTCCACAGGCGCCTTCATCTATCCAGATTCCGCGCTCCACCCTGCGTGCGACAACATTCGATGGAAAGACCGTTTACTTGAGACGTAAACCAAAGGTATTTTCTACCACTACCCAGGTCAATCGCCATGTCCTTTCTTTGAATGTTATGATTCATATCTCTGAACCAGACGTCCAATGCATCTTCAAGCCGGATGAGGAATCTTCTCGAAGTTCCTATACATCGACTCATGGACCAGTTATCGGCGTCTACTGCTGCAGACTTGCAACGCAAGTAAGACGAGCCTCCTTCCATGCAGTCCTCTTCGTTGCTGACGAACAAGCAGTGAAGGTGCTCCCCAAAATCAGGCTGCAGATGTGAGGGGCACATCCATTGAAGATCAACTTTGGGTGGATAGGTATCGGCCAAGCAAATATACCGACCTTCTAGGCAATGAGAGGGTAGCTCGAGACGCTATGACGTGGATCAAGCAGTGGGATTGGTGTGTATTTGGAAAGTCAAGAGGGAAGAAGAGGAGTAGAGATGGTGATGAAAACCTCGAGTTGGACGAGTTTCACCGCCCAAAGGAAAAGATTCTTCTGCTGTCAGGTCCTCCTGGGTTTGGAAAGACAACTTTGGCCCATGTACTGGCACGCCAGGCTGGCTACGAGGTGATGGAGATAAACGCAAGGTAGCTATAGCCAATCCGTATTACTTCATCGCTGATATACTTCTTCTCAGTGACGCACGCTCTGGTGCTGTTGTTGAGGATCGAATACGACCTACACTAGAAGCGGGCTCCAAAGTTGGTAGCTCAAAACCCGTGCTACTTGTTATCGACGAGATAGACGGTGCCACGGGGGCTGGGGACAGTGTAGGGACGGTGTCAGCCATTGTCGTCGTTTCACTGACGCAGTTTCCCTCAGTCGTCGACGTTTATTCACAAACTCGTCCAATTGATAAATGCAAAGCCTCGGAAGAAAAGTAATTTTTTTGGCTTCTAGCGTTCAACGTCATTCTGACGCTCCGCACAGAACGTTCCGGTCAGAACAAAGATTACAACAGGGGTGATCGTCCTATTCTGCGGCCAATCATATGTATCTGCAATGAGCACAATGCGTCGTCTTTGACGAAATTGCGGCCCCACGCCTACCAGATCAGATTCGCCAGGCCAGCTGACATCCATATTGTGAAAAGATTGAAAGAAGTTTGCCGGACGGAGGGGATGAAAGCGGATTCTCGGGCTCTGAGTACCCTGGTCAGCGTCGCTAAAGGAGACCTCCGAGGCTGCCTCAACACGCTTCAGGTATGACATGAAGCCACGCCCATCCATGAATTTGCTCCTTACCCTTCGTCTTGTGCCCCAGTTCATCAAGACCCGAAATGAAGATGTCACGGAACCAATTATCCGGAAGGCAACTTCGGGAATGAAGGAAGCAGATACCAACTACATCTCTGTTCTCAACAACCTATTCACCCCTCTATCGAAGAAGCGAGTGAAGGAATTGGCTTTGACCGACGAAGACGAGGCTAGGTTCGTGTCTAGACTTAGTGGAGAAGTTGAGGCAAGTGGTCGTGAAAGCAATATAGCTTCCGGTCAGAAAATCTCTTGACCTTGTCTATGTTTCGCAGAGCTAATTCCTTAATACAGGTTGCTTTGGACACTATGTCACCCTTCGTCGGCACGATGCCAACCTCAGCCGACACGAACAGGCGACGGAATGGCTGACGACCTTTGATAATTTCTCTTCTACCATGTATTCTGAGGGTGACTTCTCCCTCAATCCATACTTGCCCTATACCCTGGTGCCCTTCTACCCCCTGTTCCAAGAACGGGGTGGAGAGAAGGTCGAACGAAACCAGGCTGATTGGGAGGTCAGGTCCTATTCTGCTAGCGTTGACTCATATATCTGACTTCTTCCCTAGCATTTTCAATTGATGCGCAGCAATGAAGAAGTGCTGAAATCTCTTTCTCGGTGTTTACGCACTGCAACAGTCCGCCATGGAGGTGATTTCAGACACCTCCTAAGCCATCCAGTCCTACAAACCGAATTCGTCCCATACATCAACAGAATTATTTCTCCACCCCTCCGACCTGTCAGTTTTCTTGATTTGTTCCCTACTCTCATGCTTACATCGACCAATCTTGATCCAGGTCAATAGCCAAGTCATCCGGCCGCTAGAGAAAGCGCTCATGAGCCGCTTGGTTGATATTATGGCCACGCTGGAACTGCGCTTCGTACAGGAAAGAGCTGATGATGGACAGTTGTCGTACCGCCTAGATCCGTGAGTGAATATCGCGCTCCTATTTGCATCGTCTAATGAATCATCAGACCTATCGATGTCTTTGTCACGTACGATGGCAAACGGGCAGCGGATATAACGGTCTCGCGATACGCCGTCCGCCACCTTGTATCAGCAGAGGTATGAAGGATGCTGTCTCGGCCCAAAGGTCGGAGTTCTGACCAGCGGCGTCCACAGATTGATGCGAAGCTAATTTCACGAGATACTGAATTTGTGGAGAAAGGCAAGCGGAGGAAGCACGATTTCTTTGGACAAACCAGGTGCGGGTGACTATCCAACTGAATGGATGGCGTCGCTCATTATTCCCCACAGGTCCAACGTAGGAGACGATGTTGATGACGCCGACGCCCCAGCGAATAAGCGACACAAGAAGGACACTCGCGATATTGCTGACAAGGTAGGTCATAAATAAATTTGAGCGTTCGATGATCGTTCGTAGTAATCGCATTTGCAGCCTCCTACCGATTTCTTTGGACGGCTAATTACTGTTTCGTCCGGCAGCACCTCGAGAATAGGTATCCACAAGGCCATCGAAAAACAGTATCGCGTTAGCTATCGATTCCTGGAAGGAAACTCAGCAGCAGTGCGCAAGCCCGTCAAAGTAAACACATTTCTTTGACTGGGTGGTATGGTGAATGTGCGATTATGTAATTGGTGTAATGATGTAACTTATTCCCTCCGTGTTGTGACTTACGTGTTGTGACTTTTGCTTCCAATCCACGGCCATAAGGAAGAGAAGCCTTGAGCCCAAGATGGATGTTGATGTTCCTTTACAGGACTATTGGACGGAATGGGCACGGAAGACTGACACTCTGGTATTGCACCCAAGCTGGAGAGTCCGATCGTCTTCCATCGATCATCACCCACGCCCGGATCGCATGAAACCAGGCAATATCATTTCCGAAGCTCTGTACGAAGCTCAGCCAGCTCATATCAACGCCAGGCCCTGTCTCCCTTTCCCTAGGTAGATGGGACGATGACCTCCGAAGAGTCCGGTTGACGTCGAAGCAAAAACGCCACCTTAACTTCTGCCATGTTCACCTCTTCCCAATAGTTTGACCTCTTCTCCCCGTTCCCATCCGCCCTGTGTCGTCGGCGCACCAGCCGCAGTCGGAATTCAATCCGAAGGTGGTACAATTAGAACTAATTGCCACACCGCTCACTCATTCGTCAGTTGGGCGGCTGTCCTTGGAGCAGATATCCTTCTGATTGATCCATCTCAAAGACGGACATTATTCTTCTTAATGTTTATGATGAGCGTCCTTGGACATCGGTCGAAATTTTGGGGTCTGGTGGCACCTTTAGCTCGTACCTGGACCATTCTCGCCTCGTCAACTCTGCCATATGCCTTACAAGAGGGAATCTGCTTCTCCTCGGACCGTCTCTGATCTAAGGCCGTAATCCAGGCAGAGCCCTCTATGTATAAAAGGCCTCGTAAAGAGGCCAAATTTCTTCAGACACCCACCACCGTCTACCAAGTTCAGTCCCCTCGACGCTTGCCCAACTGCGTAAAAAATGGTCGCCATCAAGTCGCTCGCTATTCTCGCCCTTCCCTTTATGGCCATGGCTAGCCCTCTCGTACGTCCTTTTCGACTCTCCATGGAGCCGTCATTAACCTCTATATTCAGGTTCCAAGGACCGACTCACCCAGTCAGTGCAACAACGGCAGCCTCCAGTGCTGTAATTCGAGCATGACGCAGGTTAGTGTTGTTTCTCCCTCGGGTTTCAATAGGTTGACATCTGTTCAGGATCGCGGCAATCTCCAAATAGCGCAGGGCGTGCTGGGGGGCCTTTTGGGGGGCCTTTTGGGTCTCGGCGGGCTCCTTGACTTGGTTGACCTCAACGCACTCATCGGCGTTCAATGCAGTCCTATCTCCATCGTTGGGAACGCAAACACCTGCACTCAGCAAACCGTCTGCTGCTCCAACAACAACTTCGTAAGATATCCCGTGTTCTACTCCTTCGTAGATTTGTAACCCCCTCCGTTATAGAATGGTCTCATCGCCCTCGGCTGCACTCCCATCAATATCAACCTTTAAATACCCAGATGCAGCACCCTGCTGGTAGCCCTCGCGTCAGTTGAATTGTGCTCTCAAATTTGGTCCTGCCATTGTACATGTACATGTGCAAGTCGTCTTCATCTTCGCTTGGTCAATGATATCTGTTTTCGCTTTTTTGCCCTCGTCGCTGCTAGACTAAGTAGGTTCAAGTGTGATTAATATTGCTGCATGTGCATCTCTGGTTTTAGGACAAGTCGGCGTTGACCACCTAAAAGAATCTTTTGGGCTTTGTCACCGTGCCTCTGAGTCCTTACCTCCATTAGACTATAAATTTCTTCTTATCTAAAAATGTACGATTCAAGTGTGCTACAGGTCGGCCGGTGATAGTAATTTGGATAATTACTACAGCCTTATGTGAAATATATTGGTAAGTCTTTGCCCATTCCTGGAAGTGCTTGGCACACATCAATGCTTGCGCCACCTTTCTTGGTACACCTATACTTCACAACCTTCACCAAAGTCTGTGGAAAGTGATCGTACTTTCCAACAATCCTGGGTATGGCCCATATTGAAGCGAGTATCACATTTCGTTACCAGTCAGCGGCATTTACACAGGCAAGAGCACAGATGCAGCAACTTAATTTCATTTTCAGGCGCTATTGTCTTTATTCCGATAGAGAAAAGGAACTACCCTCCCATGATTTAATGGTATCAGAATGAGACTCCGTCAGGCAGTGGTTCTAGGGCTATCCCCCTTCCTCGTGGATAGGGTCTGCCCTGCTTGAATCATCCGCCACAACGAAATTTATAAGATAGAAATACCACCCCACCTCGTTCGTTGGTCTGACCCTCGTCGACACCTTTCAAAGTGGAGGCTTTCAATGTATAGGCTATCCGTTCTCGCTCTTCCTATATTCGCTGCTGGAAACCCTCTTGTGCGTGCATTTCTATGCCGGCTTTTGATTCAGGGCCTTCTTGAGCCGCTCGGCGTTGTTGTGGGTTTTCTTCGCGTTTTCTTGCCCAGCGGTTCAAGTTGTTTTCGAGAAGTCATTGCACGTCGAACTCTAGCATTCCAGCTCCTTGATTGTCAATCCTTCGTTTTATTTGCTTATCGACCGTCGGGTTTACCAAAGTACTTCCTCCCCATCAAACAAGGCCCACGGTTGCCTACTGATCTTGCCACTCGAACGTCCCTACAATCGCAGACTTCCCAGAGAGGCTGCCGCGATTCGGCGCTAGGACAGTTAATTTCCGTTTCACCATGTCAATATGTGTCCTTCAAGGAAAGTGTCCTTCAGTCCGGAGCGCATTGGATACTCAAGTAACCACTCACACAACTAGGATACCAACGACCGTCAAGTCCAGGATTTCTTCGTCGTATCGTTCATTTTCATCCGGGTTTTGTGGCGACATCAAGGCGAGAACGGCGTTGAGCAATCCAGAGCCTGGCGAAGCAGGGTCGACCGCCACAGGCTGCATCTCCGAGACCGTACGAGTCGCTCCGACGGGCAGTGCGTCAGAAGGGGCCATAGTTTCTGGTTTCTTCGTTAGCAATGCATCCATAGGCGAGGCTTAAATGTGGTTCTCACCTGAGCCTATCCGATATATCTGAAGGTCGCCGAAGTTGATGACAGTCGACGACGGCGAAAGCACTAGATCACTCAGGCTCTCTCCGCCCAACGAACCATTTGTTATTCCTGAAGGCGGCTTGATCACTTGACCGTACATGTACGAATGTAACTGATAGCTGACGACACGTTCACGATACGAAGGGTCTACCTCTACTACCTGAAGAATTCGAAGTTGGTCAGGAAAGCGTAAGAGAAGGAAAGCGGAAGAACTCACTCCACCAGACTTCGGAATTTTCACGACAGTCAGCAATGAGCCGTAAGCACGTTGCATCTCGACGTTCAGCTTTTCATGTCCGACGACCACAATGACATTAACTACGAGTTTGGTGAGCTAGACTGTCTTCCTCTCGAACGATCGAAAACCCCACTTTTGAAGGCATCGATGCACGCTTTAATGAGCCTGTGCCGGTGATCATTTGAGGATGGACCAGAAGCAAATGACGAAGGAGTGTCTACGATCAGACCTGACGCTCGCCCTACATTTCGGTCACTAAACTGGCATCCCAGACAACAAAGGGAAGAGAACACGCCTTCTGGATCGAGTTCAAACCGGTCACTGATGTTCTCTCCGAGGTTCCGTATTAGCCTATCCATCAAGAGAGGGTTTCTCTTCGTCTCGGCATGCCCATACCAATACACCAATGGGAGGAGAGCGTTTGAAGCTAGTGACATGGGTGCCGTACTTGCTGCCGTTCCGAGAGGGTTTGCTGGTGATGCCGTCGGTATTGGACCATACACCGGCGCCACGGAGACTGCACCCGGAGTTGCCCAGCCTCCCTACACACCCACAACCACCATAAGCAAGGTGCTAAGATTACACGCCTGAAGGAGCCAGACACACCTCACTCGGATCAACGTTCACAAGGAACGGCGACCATCCTTGCCCGGCACGAACAGCGTAATTGGCGAGCAGCTTGCAGACGGACGTCTTTCCGGAATGATCAGGACCCAGCACGAGGACTCTTGGAGGATCGGTTTTCGAGGTGTCACCCGGAGGTGGTGGAGAGCCGCGTATTTGCCTCAGGGTACGGACGCGCATCTGCTCGAGGGCGATGTGAAGGTTTGCGTATGTGCGCATTGGCGTTTCTGTGGACACATATTCTGTCGAAGGTTCACCTGTAACGTGTAGACAGGCGATTTAGTACCATAAAGTTCAGAAAAAAGTGAGTCGAGGGCTCATCTCAACCGTGCATCCCTGCCATGTATAAACGGCCGCCTTGCACTCGAAGCCGAAGAGATAGACCTTTCCCTCCGCGAGCTCGAACCCAAAGATTTCAGCGTGGCCTTGGACGAGCTAAAGGATGTAATGAGTCAGTGACATTTCCCTTGTAGTAGGCACGCCCCAAGCTTGACGGACCTTGATCGCGAGCGATGTCCCAGGATCGAGCTCAAACCTATATTCCGACTCTGGCTCTAGCTCCCACTTCTTGGGTTCAGCAGCGGGCTTGTTGTCTGACATGACGCGTCCTTCTGTGAACAAGTAATGACAACCTAATAACAGAAGCTTCCCGCAATCCAAACTGCGGCCTGGCTCCCAAGCTTCCGAAATTCAGTCGTGGGGCTCGGGCGAATGTCAGTACTTCGACGGGTACCTGGAGTACGGGTCGATATTGAGGCACAAGACGCTGAAGAAGATGAAAGTCCGTCAAAGCTTCAGCTTCAATGTTGCAAGAAAGACTTGGATATCGATAACGGAATGTTGGCGTTCGGGACAAGCCTGCAGGACGCTTGTTGCAGCGCACGTGCTATCTTCGGTCTGAAAGAGTCTCCGGAATGATTCTTTCTACAAATTCACATCATGGATGCGCCCACAACCCACTACCCACAATTCGCCAGGCTTCTGACGAACAAAAAGGCAAGAGATCTTGCGCATCAGAAAGCCACTTTTCTAGGATGCTCGAGAGGCAGTTGGTGCGTAATTGATGCCTTCGGGCATCTTTTTCTTTCATGGCGTTTTAGCTCCTCGGAAGCCTCAGAGCCGTCTTGCCTTTATTTCTTCACTCCACGACATAAAAATACCCCCCAACCTCCGTCGGCGTTATGCAAGAGTCGACGTGATCGGAATCGCTGTAAAGATATGTCAATCAGACCTGTTGCTTGGTCCAACAACCTGCTTCGAACCATGTGAGAAAGAACTCCAGTCGGCAGGGTCTGCGGATCCACCCACATCCAGCCATTACGCGTCTTACGGAAGATCTCAAGTCGCGTTGATCTCCTTATAAATGGGGTCAGTTACACTCTAGCCACCCTGCGCCTCCTCCTTCGCCCTACCACACAATGGACTCTGGCAGCATCAGTGAACACTCTGAAAAGCATGGCCCCGAGCATGCTCATACCGCTATCGCCAAACTTCGGGATGTCGACGTAGCTGCCGCCCTAGACTCAGATAAGCCGCTGGATCCAGAGGTCGCTGCCCGCCTAAGGTGCGTTTTCGTGTACTTTGTACACCAAGGAGACTTAACTGAGGCTTTGGAAATTTACAGGAAGAAAATTGACTGGCATCTCATGCCGCTCATGTGTAGTAAGTTTGCGACAGTTGACTCAAATGATCATCGTTGAATTCTGATTCATTTCCCACTGCAGTCATGTACCTGTACGCTCATCGACTTCTTCAAAGATGATCATGGCACTCACAAAGCGCCCACTACTCTGTACAGCATGGCCTTCGCGGACAAGATAACGCTTGGACAGTCGGCAGTGCTGGGTATCTTGTGAGTATTTCCTCAATCGCAACTGTCGTTGGTTCTAGAATCTGATATTTTTCCAGACCTGGCGCCAACTTGACACAAAATCAGTTCAACTGGCTAGGGACGGTCTTCTATCTGAGCTATCTCGCTTTCGAGGTGCGCTTCAGTCTGCCCGCTGATGTCTGATTGGCGATCTCAAATCTGTCGGTCTTGCAGTACCCGCAGAACCTTGCGCTCCAGACACTGCCTGTGGGCAAGTGGATGAGGTGCGCCCACATTCCTCACCCGGAAGCATTCAACATTGAGATATTCTGGTTGCGTAGCGTCAACATCTTCGTCTGGGGTGTTGCTCTTTTATGTCATGCAGCATGCAAGTCTTTTGGAGGGCTCTTCGCCGTCAGGTTCATTCTCGGCATGTGCGAAGGTATCTCATCCCCCCTCAGAATGGTTGGCTCCAGTTGGCTTACGAAGTCCAACAGGCGCTATCACCCCCGGGTTCATGATTGTGACCTCCATGTTCTATACTCGCGCGGAACAGAACAAGCGTGTCGGGTATTGGTGTAAGGAACCTTTCTCTCGATGTTCAGCGCCTGACTAATTGTATCTTAGTCCTTATGAACGGTTTTGCCATTATCTTCCTTGGTTTCGTCAGTTTCGGTGTTTTACATACCCAGGTCAGTTTCGGTGTCGTTCGCCGTTTCAAGGGGCTTACCCACTCACGTCACCCACGTAGACCGAGAACTTCATGCCATGGCAGTGGTGAGAAGCATTCTCCGCGTCATCGTACGCCAATTCAGTCCCTCATTGCTTTTCTCCTGCTAGGCTGATGGTCATCACCGGCATTATTACTCTCGTGACGGCCGTTCTATTCTGGTACTCATTCCTTTAGGAGCAACCCCACAAGGATCTAATCTTGGCGTTCCTATACATAGGTTCTTCTTCCCAGATTCTCCCACCACAGCGTACTTCTTGACGGCGGAGGAGCGCGCTCAAGCGGTCCAGCGTATCAAGATTAACCAAGCTGGTGTCGAGAACAAGCATTGGAAGCGAGACCAGTGAGTCGAAGCCATCGACATCGGAGCGACCGTAATCAAACAGTAATATCTCAGATTTATTGAAGCGTTCACGGATCCTAAAGTATGGGTTATGGCACTATTTGCTGCAGTTGGGTAAGTGTTTCTTTCTGACTAACACAGGAAAATGCTTACGGAATTTCTAACATTTCAGCAACGTCGTCAATTCGGTATGATAAGCTCGGTATACAGTGTCATCGATGGGCCACTGATTTCAGATTCCCATTTAGTTGACCAACCAGAGGCAACTTATCATCAATCAGTTTGGGTTTACCCCGATACAAACTACGTTGCTTGGCTCCGTTGACGGTGTCGTCGAGAGTATGCATTGCCCGTTAACACTCCTTCATTACAACTCATCTGACCTTTTTAATCTTCACCTAGTTTTGACCATCTGGCTGGGCGTCTCGCTGGCGGCGATCCCTGCACTCGGACGAGGCTATACAGCGGTGATGTGCTTCGTTCCGGCTCTACTTGGATCTATCCTTGTCAGCACGCTACCTTCGCACAACAGGATTGGTCTGCTTTTTTCGTATTGGATAGCCAGTGAGTTGTCCTCCATTTTTTGGGTGGCACGGGCCCTGATTGGTGCATCGCAGTCTTCGTTTTCGTACCTTTCGTCATTCTCCTTGGATGGATGGGAACAATCACCTCGGGTCATACGAAGAGTGAGTACTAGCATCTTCTACCAGTATTGCACCTTTTAAAACTAGAAAATGGAAACCAGAAACAACCGTCAACGCTATCGTTCTCTGCGCGTATGCTATTGGAAACGCTGCTGGGCCTTTCATGTGGAAGAAGCATTACCAGCCACGGTATGTATCCTTTTCACCTGTACTTCTACGAAATCATCACATCTTGTACTTTTTGCAGAAACCACGTCCCATGGGCCGTCATCTCGGCCTGCATATTCACATGCGCTATGCTTATGCTGCTTCTGCGCTTCATGCTTACCTCCGAAAACAAGCGCAGGGATGCTGAGAAAAGGGATGATACATACGACGACGTATATATCACTGAGGTAACAGCGGATGGGAAGACGATTGAGAAACGCGTTGACAGGGTATGTGCATTCCCTGCCATCATGTTTTTGGCCCAGTTGTTTGACTAGCTGTGCATAGGCTTTCCTTGACCTTACCGACATCCAGAACAGGGATTTCCGATATGTCTTATGAATTTTATCACGAAATATTACTACGATTGAAGTATCATTGTATCTATAGAGTTTGGATCAGATAGGTTTTTTGGAAGTGGTTCCGACTTGAAGTGTCAGGTATTGTTCACCTGATGCCCGAGATTGGGAATTTAATATACAGGAGCATCAATAGCGGAAAACTAAATCAAACATCTTGCTACTGTATGTTCAAGCCCTGTACGGCTGGCATAGTAAGCAAAGCCTAGGTGCAACCTCAGGGAAGTAAGTACTACGGTAGAGCAAACAAGAGTATCGGTCCGGACCGACGGTGACGTAAGCACTTCACCAATTTTCAAGGATTCGCGGTTTTGAATCTACGACCACTACCAACTCGACCAAGGATCTATACTCGTGAGGTCATTCAAAATACCATCCGTACGAAATGGCAGAAACACGCTCTAGGGCATGGCCCCTTGCCGATGCTAACCTTACCAACAAGGTACTTGCACGCTTGGATGTCCTGTCCTCGAAAAAGACTAACCTTTTCCACACTGGATTGTCTAGATCCTTGACCTTGTTCAACAAGCAGGGCAATACAAGCAACTGAAGAAAGGCGCCAACGAAGGTGCGTATCAGTCCTATGGGGAATCTAACGGGGGATCTAACTGGCGGCTAGCTACCAAAACACTTAACCGTGGTATTGCCGAATTCATCATCTTGACCGAGGACACTGAGCCTCTTGAAATTTTGCTTCATCTTCCCCTTCTGTGCGAGGAGAAGGTGCGTTGTTGTTCTCCCGTTTCTGTAAGGAAAACTGATAAAGTCTACGTAGAACGTCCCTTATATATTTGTACCCTCTAAAGCCGCGCTTGGACGTGCTTGCAACGTCTCTCGTCCTGTTATCGCCGCCAGCGTTACGACCGGCGAATCGAAGGAGCTTTCGAGCCAAATCACCTCTGTCAAACATGCGATTGAGAAGGAGATGTACTAAATCCACTGGCTCCTGTTGTTCCTGGGATCAGGACATATTTACGACGTATTCTTGACATAAATAACATCTCTATGACCCGTTGGCCATGGCCTGTGACCCTCAAAATTTTCCAGAAAGTTCCCTGAAAGTGCGGATACTTACTCGTTGAGATGGTATATGCCACTGGCCTCTATTATGGCTTAGTCAGCAGTACTATGAAAGCGGTCCCAAAAATGGAGTTGAAGCCTTTGCTTGTCAAAGGTCAACATTCCCTTAGAGTCAGGCGGCTAAAGAGCTCTGTCTTCATCATGTCAGGCATTTGCAGAACACGTCTCGCCGAAGAGCGCAAGCAATGGCGGAAGGATCATCCCTTCGTGAGTACTGGTTTCTGTAGAACTTATCTAGTATTCTGCTGCAGCAACATCACCTTTACGCACAGCGCCGCCTCATTCCGACGAAGTGCCCCTGGCTACGTTGCCGACATACATTTCCTTCAATACTCTTTCCTGGCCATAATGCTGATATCTCTGTCTACAGGGGTTCTATGCGAAACCCGCGAAAGCTGCTGATGGTTCTATGAATCTCATGGAATGGGAGGTCGGTATACCCGGCAGAGCTAAGGTCAGTTCATGGGGCCATGATCTACTTGCGGAGGCGCGTTCATATACGCGTTCTCCCTCGAGCGGCGCGTCTCGGTGGATTTATCGCTAATTTCTTTGATCGTTTTCTGTGTTGCAGACCATCTGGGAAGGAGGTCTGTACAAACTGTCCATGTCATTCCCCGAGGGTAAGCCTTCCTCTGGACCTTTGCAAAAGATATCAATACTCACTAGTCGCTCTTTCTCGTAGACTACCCCTCGAAGCCGCCGAAGTGTCTGTGTATGCTCGCCTCGTGTCATCCGCGCCTCCTCATCTTTTTTGCAGGCAAGTTCACACCCCCGCTCTTCCACCCTAACGTTTATCCCTCCGGGACTGTCTGCTTGTCAATCCTCGACGAAGAAAAGTCCTGGAAGCCTGCCATCACGATCAAGCAGGTTGGTACAAAGCACCAGTTGGTTTCGCACTCAGACGTTATTCTGAATCCCGTGGTAGATCCTGCTTGGTATCCAAGACCTCCTCGACAACCCCAATGTAAACGACCCGGCCCAGAGCGATGCCTACACTATGTTCAAGTAGGTCACACTCGGCCTTAATTCACGCCATCTGCTAACCCTTGTCCAAGGAACGACAAGGTGGCTTATGAGTAAGCTTGCATTACTTCATGGTTCTGCTCGCCAATTCTAATCACCATGGCCTGAAGGAGGCGGATCAAGCAACAGGCGCGCGATAATATACCAAAGTAGTTGCAGTTTCTGTAAATATCTTCCGAGGGATTTGAGAGGTTGATCTCATGCCACTACCGTCATGTTAGCTTGCTTTCTGTATGTATTATACGCAATAATCCAATCATCTTCTGGTTGAACGGGGTCAGAGCGTCGAGAAGCGAACGAACAAAGTACAACCCTTTTCTGTGACGGGTTATAAAAAGTTTGGTAATAATTGGCGACTTACGCTGCGCGTTCTCTTCGCAACATACCACTTCCTCAAGGTTACCACCCTCCCTTCGATACCTGTGGCGAGGTCTTAGGATGACTGGCACACCAGCTGTGCTCAATATCCATACACCAACGTCATCCTTTGCTATCGTCCATTCCTGTGAGTTCCTCTCTCGAGACGAGAGACTTTCAAGGATCTAAAAGATCTCTTAGTTACACAGGAAACGCTGCTTGATCTATACAACAAACTCAGTCGGAAAGCAGGCACGGACTATTACGGCCAGCGAGTGGGCCCGGGTTGGTTGAAATACGAGTACAACGACGGAATTTGGAATTTAGATGATGGTGCGTTGGATGTCATGATGATGGCCTTGAGCCGGGCCCGAGTGGTCTCGGCAACTAACTATCTCCTCTTCCATGCTTTACAGATTCAGACTATACGATCTTTACATGGCGGCAGCATGAGCAGCAACAGCACCATGATGAGAACTTGTCTGTGCATAGGTCACACTCGCCTGAAGGCCCACCTGTGGCCTCGTCGTCAAAGGTCCTGTTACCATCTACGCCCGTTAGCACGAGACATACACCCACTCTGCACCTTCACGATCCCAAGAGACCCCTCCCCAACACTCCAGAATACCTCAATCCGTCGTACTATGTCTTCCACCCCTCACGGGCTCATCCGCCCGCAATGAGACGTTCTCCGGCACCTTCCCGGGCATCTACACGGAGAAGCAAGAAAGGAAGGTCGAACGGGGGGCTTGACGACGACTCAGAAGAGGACGGTGTCCCCAAGTTCAAGAAACAATTTGACAGGTTTCACTCCGAGAACGGGGTGCGCACCGTTATGGGCAGTATCGGGCCTGTACAGAATGGTACGTGCTATAGTGCATGTATTCGTCCTTTTCTATTTTTGTGTCGTGTCCTTTATTTTTTATCCTCGCACTGTCTTCTAACTCCTTTATTTCTAGTCCGAATGCTCCTCAAATCGGGATACAGACACGTCTACATATCGCGCAAGTTCGCGATCAAGCACGGGTTCATTCCGCCAGACGCTGCGCCAGGAAATTACGGCTATGGTGGATTGGTGAACATCGGATCCTGGCCAATTACCCTAACCCCTTCCTCTGCGCAACCGCATCTCCCGACTAAAGGCTACCAGAAACCAGACGCCTTTGCGGTTGCGCAGAGGCCGCTAACGCCTAGTCCGTCGCATACGCCCTTTTCTTCCCCGAGGATGGTCTCTGGAGCGGTATCGGGTTCACCTCCCCACCACCACGCTCATGCCAACACAAATGGGAAAGCAAAGACTGTGAAGAAGAATCAACAGCACACGACGCCACCTGCTGGAGCGCTCGCGGGGTTGAAGCAGGTGATGATAGAGGTTTATCTCTCGGAGGAGCCTCACTTCGACGTCGTCCTCGGTCGATCATTTTTTGAGAAGCGGCAAATCAAGACAAGCTCGGTTGATCCTACGGATGTCGTCTGTCTGGATACAGGAGAGAAGATCGAGTGCCAACTTGTTATTTTGAAGGATGGAAGGGGCGAAATCGTGACCGTCACTTGAGGGCTGTCCCGTTGATTGCAGAGTTGTAGTAGGGAATATTCGATATCGGACCTCAATTGCGTTGTTAGGGAATCCCATACTTATGTCAGGAGCACCTGTCTGTATATAAGGGAGTAATACTTGGTTTGGTCATTGTCCCGCAAGACGAGTGAAATGGATATTCCATTGAGAGGATTTGGTAAGGGTAACAAAGATTGACACGATATGAAGTGTGATGAAATGGTGTCCAGGTTGTATGTCAAGAACCATGCTACTTGTTGAGTCTCATTCGTTCTGAGCGGGTCGCCTACAACAAAATTATTAGTACATTAGTCTCGGAATGAATGAACAAGAATGGAACCCACTCTTCTACGCTTCTTCAGCCTACACAGAAAAGTCAATGGTCAGTGACAGTTACGTCCCTTGATAAAAAAGAACAAGAAACGGGGAAATGCATGAGGAAAAAGAAAGAAGCAATACTCACTTGTGCTTCTTCATCTTCTTTCGTCTCTTCCTCTTGGTGCTATCAAACATAACCTCCTCCCACTCCCTATCAAACTGCTGCTGCAAGTTGACACGGTCTGCATCCTTCGAAACATCCAACCCTAGTGTCTTCAGTGCATGTTCCCAACTAATAGAAGGACCGGCTTTGCTCATGGTCAGGGCCCTCGTTAGCTGACGGGCAGCCTCGGCATCCGCATCGATGAATGGGTCCGGGCTTGCGTCCAGGCCGACCGCGAGCCTCCTTTGAGTCTCTTTCTCCACATCAGACTGCAATGGCGCGAAAAGTGGGTATTCGGGCGGAATTGACCGGAAGATGGATGTCGGTTGAGAGATAAGCAGGAGAGGACGATGCAAGGAGAAGAACTGGTGCATCTTGAAGTCCTTCGCAGAGATGATATTATGGGGAATATGGTTCTGGGTTATCTCTGCGAAGACATTGGTGAAGGAAGAGGTTGCCTGTGGTGCACCGCTTGAGGATGCTTCGGAACTTGGTGGGGCGGATGACGACGACGATGCGCCTTGCGCTGAAGGTCCTGTGGACTGGGCCTCTGCTAGTGTAGGTACTCCATTGTTTGGAGAAACACCCTGCACATTCTCCTTCTGCGCTTCTGCGTTAGTGGGATCGACTGTGGTGTTCTTTGCTGCAACAACTGCAGACTTGGGCGGCTTCGCGGAGTTGAAGAAGCGGCCACCTCCGGACTTGGAGGAGAAGTAGGAGTACGTCCTGCGTGACGCAGGTGTGTATAGGAAACGCCTGAGCGCCGACATGGGTGGGCAGGAGACTGCCAGCCGCGATGCAGACGATGGTCAATCAATGAGTGGAGTCACAATGTGCGAAAGCAAAAGAAAACACGGCCATACATCCCGGCGTCACAGCGGAGTTCGAGAAAGAAACGGGCCGGGCAACAGCAGGTAACTCCCTTCTCTCCCCACAACTCCAACGACAATGGCGACCTCGCCTATCGTGACTTCGTTGGATTTGTCCAAGCCTTCTGTCGCAACTGAGACTATCACCAAGTCGTTGTCGTCCATCCTGCCCTCGATAGAGCATTCCTGTGCATTCTTGTCCGCTGTTGCCCAATGTCGGACGGCAACTACAGTGCCAATCCATGCATTCCAATGACTGTCGTTCTCGATGCGTGTGCCATTATCACGGGAAACTACAACGGGAATGGCCATCTCTTTTGTGACCGAGAAGGGAAATCACCCGTTCCATCATCTCTTCTTGAAGCGGGTGAATACTTCTATGTCATCGACGATTATCCTAGTTTCAATTACCCGCTCTTCGCCTCATTCGACGTCTGGGTTCCACCTCCTCGCAGCGACGTACCCGACCATTGGTTTTCTCCCCAATGTCCAAAGAAGCAGGATCTCTACCCAGTCACCCCAGTACGATGGACCGATATCGACGCCACCAACCCAAGTGCCGTGAGTAGCGCCGCGAAGGACTTAGACGGGCAGCAGTGTCTACTTTCAGGGTATTTGTGGCCCGTCGAAGGTGCCCACATTATCCCCGTGGATAATGGTCTTTGGGCATGTATGCTATATCAACCTGCATGCCTTTATTACTGACATTGCCCAGTACACTACTCACCAAGTTCCAGAACAGCTGCGTTACCCCAATATCTATCCGCACACGCTGAGCGGTCCCCACTTCGTGCACGATATTCGCAACTTCCTCACCCTTCGAGTCGATATCTATCAGAGGTGGGACAAGCACACGTTTTTCTTCGTTCCCTTCAATGGATCCCTCGTGTTGTATTTCATTGGGCCACTTCCCGACCTATATTCGATCCAGTATCATTTTGGAAAGCCCAACCTTCCGGAACGCGTTGACCCTTACCTTCTCTTCATCCGGTTCGCTTTGGCAATCTTCACCTTACGTATGGACACCATGGTTGAACTGTAGTTACAAATTATAGATTTTCTAACCTCCTTCAGTTTTTACTTTAATTATTATTTGTACTTTATATTTTAAATATAAAGTAATAAAAAGGCTTGCTCACCCCAAGCAATACAAGGTGCCCTTGAAGGGCAGTGGCACTCTAGAAGAACAGGGAGATGTTGTGGAGGAGGGAGGTTATGGGGACAATGTGTCAGAGTCGGCAGAGTTTGAAGAGTTAGGGGATGGCCCAAGGCTGCTTGTCAAGATTTATGAAGGTCAGTCCCCTATCTCCTCTAGTAATGAGCTGGTGTTCGATTTCCCCTAGATAATGGCTGGGAGCTCCCCCCTGATCTCGCTGCAGCTTTTATCCCGCGGGATGAGAAGATTGAGGCTGCAAAGCTTGCTTGGTTCGAAGCCAACCCGCAAATTTGTCAGCGATCAGAGGCTACCACTGGTGTCGCAAGTGAGATTCCGTTCGAGTAGGGACTGTCATGTTTATTAGGTTGTTCAGACAATGCTTCAATAAATTTATTCAGGCTCAATGAACCTCTGCCATTGAAGGAGTAGGCAATTTGAAAATTATTGACTGAAACCTCCGATCTGTTTCTCCTGCTTTCTCCTGTTTTCTCGTGCAGTTCTCGACTTACATTGTAGTAAGTTACATATGTAGTTCCTCAGTTCAGCTCTGAGCTCAGTCCTGAGTGGGTAAAGTCACGTGCCCGTGTCCACTTAAGCGCTCAACCTGATTCGGAAATTCCAACCTGATTCCTGAAGCTTGAAGGCTGAACGCTCGCTCAACGTTCAACTCTCACAACCACAAGGGTGAATCCGAAAACAAGAGACGATGCTCTACTTTGGGTACGGTACCAATCTGTGGCGTGACCAAATGACACGTCGCTGCCCGGAACACAAATACATCGGAGTTGGTCTATTGGTGGGGTGGTAGGTGTTCTCCATCGACAGCAAGGCGTATATTCACCCTTTCAATGAAAGGAAGTAGATGATAAATGTTCGCGGGTATGCGAATGTAATACCTTCTGCAGGGGATGTAGTGTATGGTCTGGTGTACGAACTATCCCCTTCAGATCGACACGATCTCGACATCTACGAACGATCCACCTACGAACGACAATCCCTGCACGTAGAGCTTCCAAACAGGAAGGAAACTGCGGAGGTTCTTGTGTACGTTGATGTAAAAAGGAAGTCGGAAGGCTCTGCGAAGAAGGAGTACATATACAGAATGAACATGGGCATAGTGGATGCCGTGCAAAAGGGAATTCCCCAAGAATATATCGATAGATACCTTCGTCCATTTATACCTCCCCTCGATCACGATATATCCATAGACAACGGTAGCTTGTAGTTACTCACCTGTCCTAAGTCCTCTCGAGTAGCCCCTATTTATTATCTGACCGGGCCGGGGAATGAGTTAGAGATTAAGGGCCCAACCAAACAGCACTCAACTCGAGGCGCAACAACGCGGCCGCGTCACCTCCACAATTCTTGAAAGCCTCCATCATGAACTCGTTCGTTGAGCGATACTCAGCCACCAGTGCGGTTGGTCAGCTCAGAAAGGCGCAGCGTCTAACAGAAGAAGAAGACGAATTCTCCGATGCTGCCTGGGGATCACAAGCTGGTTTGGGGAACATTATGAGCGGACCACCCTCATTTACTGTTCCCAACGTCCCAGATGTGAGTTATCGAACTTCACATGCTGGGCTACCAACAATATCAACCCTTACATTCAACAGCCCGCTGCCTTCCTTCGCCTACATACAGACGACCATGCTGATCCAAATTGCAGAATCAAGATTCAGCATGGTACTACTACTCTCGCGTTCCGATTCCAGGGTGGTGTGATCGTTGCGGTCGATTCTCGAGCCACAGCAGGAAGCTACATTGGTGTGTCAATATTCTTCTGGTGCCTCAATCTTGCTCATAAAATCCAGCCTCGGGAACGGTGAAGAAGGTCATTGAAATCAACCCTTACCTCCTTGGAACGATGGCTGGTGGTGCTGGTCAGTTGACCAAACGTTCCCCTCTTGGTTAAATTAATGTCTCCTCGAACTCTATAGCCGACTGCCAATATTGGGAGACGTACCTCGGAATGCATTGCCGACTCCATGAACTTCGAAACCGTGAACGCATCTCAGTGTCTGCAGCGAGCAAGTACCTGAGCAATCTAGTGTACAGCTACAAAGGAATGGGTCTGAGTATGGTGTGTACACATATATGTCAATCCTCGATCCGTGTTCATGCATTTCTCCCTGGCTAGGGCACGATGATCTGCGGTTGGGACAAGACGGTAAGAAATCCAGTGTATCATGATTAACCTCCAATTGAATGCGTTTTTTAGGGGCCTGCTGTATTTTATGTCGACTCGGACGGCACACGCCTTAAGGGTGACCTATTCTCTGTTGGTTCTGGAAGCACCTTCGCCTATGGTGTCCTGGATCAGGGCTACCGCTGGGACCTTACTGATGAAGAGGCTCAAGAGCTTGGCAGACGCAGCATCTACGCTGCCGGCCATCGCGATGCCTTCTCCGGGAATACGTGTAACTTGTATCACATCAAGCAAGATGGCTGGACGTTCATTGGCGCGTTGCTGTTCATATTCCATTCGGAAAGTTGGCTAACCTTGCCTTCAGGGAATTACGATATCGCCAAAATGCACTACGATGGGCCCGGAGACGTCCCAGGCGCTCCTGGTGGTGGTTATGGCTACGATGTCAGGTTGGCTGCTGCCAACTCCACTGAAGTCGCTGCTGCATAAACATCAACTTTACTTTGTACTTTTGTATGCCAATACTACTGGTTGTTTATTGACATCTCCAACGTAGTCATCGGCGTCTGCCATGAAATTTTCATCATGAACACTTTAGCTCTTCTTCGTACTGGTCGACAATCATCCGTTCATGCTCGAAGAAGGTCATAGTCGCAGGGTTTCGCCACTGTCACAACAATGAGCATGGATTAGCAGTTCGATCAAATTTGTGCCGACAAGTACCTCTGTTTTGTGCCTTATCTTCCAAAATATGAAGAGCGCAGGCACAACGCCGATCATCGTGTATGAGAAGAGAAAATCGGGGACGTTCCATCTACCCGGCAGGAAGACAGTGTAGCCACCAACGAAAGCCATCGTGAATGTACCTGCTAGCGCATAATACCTGGAAATGCAGAAGTGAGTTCTGATGGAAATGGTTCTGTGGAAATTGGAAGCTAACCCGCAAAACGGCTGCCAGAAGCTTTTGTGAGGGAGGGTGTCGCGAGATATCCCTTGCGCTTTCAATCCCTGGACAAAAATTGAGGCCGTGATCAAGGTTGGCAACAATGTCTGCTGGGCTTACTTGATGGAAGCGAATGTAGGTAAACGATATGATCGCAAAATTTAGCAACTGCGACGCAGTTACAAGGTTTACGAACCTAGTGGTGTATAGTGAGAATCTCCAACGTTTTTCAGCGCAAGTAACGCTTACCATTGCAGAACTATGGCAGCATTGGTGGAAACTTGCAAGAACGCTGTGGAGGTTTCAAATGCCACTGATAAGGTCGCAACTAATGTGATAGACCTCCCACTAACCAAGCAAGGCAATTGCAAGCGTCACCCCAACACAATAAATCGGCACACCGGTCTTCGTGCACCTCGTTAGGAACCTTGGCATCTTTCCCTCCAGCGCAAGCCCAAACAATGTCCGACTAGCACAGAACACATAACTATTCCCGGCAGAAAACACGGACGTCAAGATCAGGGCGTTGACAATGTGCGGCAAGACAGGTATGCCCAAGCGGCCCATGGCTATCACGTATGGAGAGGCTCCGGCGCCTGGGTGTGCGCCGCTGATAGCGTTGAGGAGCTCTTCCGAATTGTAGGGCACGACGATGCCGACACACAGTGAGCCGAGGACGAAGAATGCTGTGAGGCGGTAGAAGACTGCGTTGAAGGCTCGGGGCAGGTTTTCTCGGGGATTGCTTGCCTCGCCTGCGGTCATCGAGACATATTCCGGTCCTTGATCCGTACTTGAGAATTGGGGTACGAGGAGAGAGGGGCGGTGCCTACCTGCGATAGTGAAAGATGCCTGGATGAGGCAGGCCAGGAAGCCCACAAACCTGCCCACATTCCCTTCCTCTATGTATTCAGCAAATGGTGCACCATCGACAACAGATGCTATTGAGCTGGGTTTTAGATCTGCATCATTCTCGAGAGTAAGAGACTCACAATCGAAGTTACGAAAGCCATAGACATCGCGCAGAGGATTCCCGCCGACCATCGTCACGAATGTGAAAATGATCAATCCTACAGCCAGTAAAACCTTTCCTGCGGCAAGCCAAAACTCGGATTCTGGAAAGCCATCGTTGAATCACTCTATTAGATTCGAAGAGGACAAACACACCTCCATAATATCGTACAGCAAAAATATTCAGAAGACTGGCCAACATCAGGAAGCATTATATAGATGTCTGGCAAGGGATTCACCTGTATGAGACAAGCACAAAAAACACCACAGCGACGATGGGTATCGTATCTGTCCAGAATTTCAAAACTACGCCGAAGGCAGTAATCTCGAAAGGTATTAAGATCGCCTCGAAGACAAAGAAATTTACCCCTGCCGCGAATCCTAACGCCGGATCAACGAATCGGTCTGAAAAACGCACCTAGACATGCCGAGAAACGATCAGTGGAGACTTTTGGATCGAAGAGAGATGGGTTCGTACAAAGGGCGAGGAGATGGGTATCCATGAGACCATCTCAGCTAGCGGGGAGAACGGGAGATAAACGAGAGATTGATTACTAGATATAATTACGTACCGAGACAGTTATTTACTGCAAGGATGAATGTACACCATATACAGAATGCAAGAAACAAACTTCCTATAGCGACGTCGAAGATGATCTGAGACGACACAGCGCTGAGAAATGACATACCAGGGCCCCCTCTCGTTAACGAAGACCCAATCTGCACAAAAAGAGCCGTTCCGATGGTACCTTGAGGGTCCAAATGTGCATGAGATTTTCAACGGCAAAAGAAACAATAATGGCAAGACTTACCTCCGATACCGATTAATTGAATGTGTCGGTTCTGTAATCCATGGTGTCAGTTCTGCTTCGCTTTGTAGAGAGGAAGCATGTCGCTGAAAGGTACCTTAAGCTTCCTACTGGTTTTGTCGAACCTGAGGGTCGATGAAGAATCGGTCACCGGTACCTCTTCTACTCTCAGTTGCGAAATGTTGCTTTTCTCCGACTTGACGTCATTGATCGTGTCTTCCCGAATGGACGGGCTCTTCATGATTATTTTGGGGGGTGAGATCGCTTCAGATCCTATCTGAAAGCATGAAATGCCAGGAGGAAGCTGGAAGAGACGGAAGGGAGACGGGAGAGAGAGATAAGAAATATACTGGCGAGTTGAGGGGATCAAGTGTTGGCCGTTGCATCGAACAGGATGCATGTGATGGCTGATTTAGGGCTCTATGGCGCAATTCGGGCTTCTCTTAACCCGGGTACATAGAAGAAGCATATGTGTGTCCAAGTGGAGGCTGCTAATCTGAACGCCCATGCCATCGGTGTGGCGTACGGAGCTGGCTCCAAAATTAGTGTGCTTCTTCGCCTTGGGGCTGGCGCATTGGGCGTCACGGAGACGCCGGAGAGCAATTATAGATCATGTGGGGTCGAGAGTGAGGTGCTGGCAGGAAGTATGGGAAGGCTGGCTATTTCCAGGTTCTACACCGATATTGGCGCTATCTTGGCGGGCGGCAGAGTCTCAGATATCGTACGACTTAAGCTCATGGAAGAACCTCCCGAACGATAAGGTGAAGACGCTCACCACGGTGCGGTCGCCGACAACCCTTTGGAAATGTTGGTTGATACGAGATAATTTACAAACGGGAAGTGAAGGAACGATAGGCAACACACCGAAACAAAAGGAAATGACGACGGTCTATAGGTCAAGATCTTCGTCGTCGCTGAATAGGACGTCAAAGTCTTCCTCATCGCTGGGAAATCCGAGATTGTCCTTTCTCCCAGTGCGCGGTAGAATGTGGTGCCTAGTGACGATCAGCAAATCTAGCTAGAGATATAGTATCCTTGCATGGTACGCACTTATCAAGTAGCTCATCAATGCCTATTGGTCCAGCCTCCCAATCCACCCGAACCCAGTTGTGTACCAATTCCCCATTTCGATAGACAAGCATTGTTGGTAGCATATCCAAGTCGACATTGTCGTCATTCTGGTCTTCTTCTTCGCTGTCTTCCTTTCTATCGTCGCCATACGGGTCATCGTCGTCTGCTTGTATTGGCTTCGGAGGACGAGAAATACTGGACTTGGATTTACTTGGACCGCTTAGGGAGGCAAAACCAAGGGCAGCAGCCTTTGCCCTGAGGAATTTCGTGTCCGGATAGGATCGCGCGAGACGTGCAAGATTTTCATCGAGGAGATAACATCTCTCTAACGACTGCAACGACAGGGAATCAACTGGTAGCCGACGGAAGGCGGCTGAACGGACGCACCGCATCGTACAAGTGGACCACAACCCATACCCCACGTTGTTCGTTCTCCACGGAGCTCACGAAACCCTTTAGCCCCACCTCACGTAGATGGCCAAAACGACCCTCTCTCTTATGCCCGAACATGTCGCGTCTCTCCTCAGCCTTCTCCACCTCCTTCTCAACCAAAGGGTCGGGTTTCTCTCCTCGAAGTGCTTTCTCGCGTTCCTCCTCCAAGAAAGTTTTTCCTCCCAGGTTGGCATTTTCCATCTTTTTCCTCAAGTCTTCGGCCTCTTTCGCTTTCTTTTCTCGTTGCAGTCCAGCAGCTTCATCGCGGTCGCGGATGACACCTTTGACACCTGTTCTCCCAGGTCCCATACCGATCGATTCAGATTGTGCCTCTTGCTGTGCCCTGATGGCATCTCGTTGAGCAACATCAGAGTCATAATCGAGCCCCTTTTCGTTGCGTTCCTGTTGGGCAGAGGCTAGCTCCTCATCGTGCCATCCTGGATCATCGTCGGATTCAACCGATCGCGTTGGAGAAGACGAACGCTCTGCGCCGTTGAAAAGCTCTCCGGAAAGCACTAACGCTTCGATGTCGGCGTACTAGAATTGTAAATGAGTGACAGGAGACCGAAAATGCACTATGGCTCACCATTTTCGCAGGGGCTTCATCCAGAAACAAGAGAGGCCTGTTGAATACCCTAAGGTTGAAGATAGCAGGTATTTACAACGAGATTTGAGGCCAATATCGATGATCTCAGACTTTAGAAGCTGGGACACCTTCAAGTTCACCCTGGGACGGGGTTATTCTTCGTAGAGTAAGCATAAGGCGAACGTGCGAGAGGGTGTCAAGCACCTGACGAACTTGGAGACCGATACAACCACTAGAAAGACCAGGTGAAAAGTATAGGTGTGGTAACGTCAAAGACGTCGCTGCCGCTTGAGAAAGAATGTACTGGTATTAAGAGATCGTGGCAAAGCGCTAATCACGCCAAGTTAGGACCGACTTGCCACGTGTCCATCGATGCGGATCCCATTTGGGAAGGAAGTATTCATGAATCCCATGCTCTTTACATACCGCTATATAGCCCTCTGGGCAGGCCTGGATACCATGGAATTGGCATTGCATTGGCAAGCTCGGGAACCCTTTTTGAGAAACGAAAAATTGTAAACGAAGTCTGGCGCTAACACTTTCAATGTGCCTTCGTGCATAGGTGCAGTGACATGGTTGGCGGCCTTTGGCACCTCAGCATTAATCTCGTCATTCTTGATGAGGGTGAACTGGTACTTCTTGGGCTCCTGCTAGCTTAGCAAGAGCGAAGAGGGAAAATATCTCTCAGGATAAGTATGCACTACTATATCAAGAAACTCCCCATAACCTGGAACGGTAGAACCTGAACACCATGGTCCAGGGGAAGAACATCAGCTCATAAACCACTGAAATCTTCTATTATCAATCTAGTACGCCAGATTGACATAGCACGTACTCTCCCCACCGAGCCATCTTACTTCCCTCCAGCCAACTTCTTACTCAAGCACGTCCTTATCCAGACTAAGGATAAGTACCCATGCCAATGGGTGAGAAATTCTGTCCTGCATAGGGTCTTCCCCCTAAGCACATGATATTCCTTTAAAGAAAGGAATATCCAATCAGGGCGCAGAAATTTCGATGCATATCGTCTCTATATGGCGTTTTGGGCATTTGGGCTCCTAGCAGTTAGCCGCACCCCCCGTTGGATTTGACTGGAGCTGGTGGCTGGCAAAACAAGGCTATAAAACGGTGCTTCATCGTTACGTCGCTCTCATAAATCTTCCACGAAGCTTCGTCGATATGGACTCCTTTAAAAGCATCCCTATATCTCCATCCAGGTCAGATAATCACGGGTACTGGCCAGCCACACGTTCCTCCAGTCGCTCTCCTTGTCCAGGACTAAATACATTGGCCAACCACGGTTACATGTAAGTGAATTCTATGCCACCCCAGACGAGGCAAAGAGCTAAAACAAACCTGTGGATATGCAGAGCACGAAATGGTTTGAATCTGAAATTCTTCGAGGTCGTCCGTGCCATCGTATTCGTCTACAACATTTCTTATCCTCTGGCGATCCTCCTCGCGTCGGTTGGTTTTCTCGCATCCGGAAAAATCACTTTCAAGAAGGATTTCATCTCCAAGGCAGTTATTAATAGCACAAGTTGCCATTGGACCGACAGGATCGTCGTCAGCATCCTCAACGCCATGAACTTCGTCCTCTCTTTCGTACCCACCTTGACGCTCGACCTCGGGGATCTCTCCCAACGTGGAACCTCCAAGCTCGCCCACGAGGCTTCTTTCGTTCATCCCAACGGCATACCATCCACCGCTCCAGACGCAAACATGGTCAACACGCTCCTGGATTACTCCTCAAGCAGGCGGAATTACCAAGGCTTCCTTCGCTTCGGCCTTGGCCTCGTCGACGTCGCTCGTTTCCACGCCGAGCGGGTACGCCTCTCACCACCGCTCAACAAAATTCACAACCAAATCGCGTTGGGAGAATGCGCTCTGGCTTGGGACGTTCTGCGTGACCACCGGTGCTCGCATGGGGCCATCGACTTCGAACGCATAGCACATTTGCAGAAGGGAAAGTATGAGGGTATCGTCCCGACATCGAGACTGGAGGCGTGGTTTGGACAGGAGCGCCTGCCTGATGGGTGGTGGGATGTTTGCGGCGTGCGACCGACGAGGACGATTGGAATCGCCAGAGCCAGGGGGCTTGCAAATCTTATCGGGAAGCTTGCGATGAAACAGAATGGTGTTCAGCGGAACGCAAAGGTACCAATAGTACAGTAGTCAAACTTGCTGTTGATTCAATGTGTTCAATATGACCGATAGCGCAATACGTAGGTAGACACCAACCGACGACAGAACTTGACGCCATCGTTAACTCATTCCGAATCAGATTCTTCTGCATACCTCCCGATTTCCTTGTGTATTTCGACGCCATTGGAAAATAACTGGTGTAAGGCAGGTAACAATCCTGGGAGCTGCTCCGCGGCGATTTTTCGGTATTCCTCTACATCAAAACGGCCAGGATGTATTTCGGCGAGCATCTTCACTTTGACAATAAGCAAGCAAGGGAGAAGTCTGCGACTGCTGAAAAGCCTTGTGTCGAGCTCATGCCAACGAGGGTCTTGCATCATCGGGAGCATGAAATCGGAACATGAAATCGGAACGCCTGTTCCGGAACGTTTCCTCGAAGTTCATGTCCAATTCGATGGAAACTAGATGAAGCATGGGTTTTCGTAAACCGGACATCATGAAGAAAAATGCGTCCAAAGTTCGTTCGTTGCCGACTTGCGAGTAATCGCCGGCCATAAAGGGGAAGTAGACTTTAAGTCTGCGAAGCTGATTGGATGGGCTTAGTTGGATGGGCCAGAGCAAAGGGTTCAGTGATTTATAGGATAAGACTAGAAGAGGGATATAAGACTGCATATCTCTTTTATGGGGGGATGGAATCGAGAATTTCTCACCAAAAAGCTCAACAGTTATCTCTTCGAGAGAAGCCAACTTCATAATGGGAATTGCCTTTCCAATGGTCTTTTCATCTTCGATGACGATGTAAAGTTTCTTGAGGTTTCGCGTAAGAGAGTTCGGCCCTTGCAGCAATAAAGTGAAGCTAAAATCTGTGTGAAGGCTCTCCAATGCCGGATACGATGGACGCGACTTGGCAGATTTCTTTCGCTTGGGTGTTTGGCTGAATTTTGGATGCGCGGTTTCGGTGTAGCATACACGCAGATGTTTTATCCGAGTCCCCGAAAAGAAAGTAATGGGAGCGGTGCACCCAGTGAGGTCAACGGACTCGAGATAGGGCGAATGAACAAGGTCGGAGATAGCTACAGCCAACGATCTTGAGGACTGCGAACAATCGAAGTGGAGCAGGATGAGACTCTTGATTCCATGGTGAGGTCCATGAAACGCACGAACCAAAGGGTTGAATGATTCGAAGTCGAAACCTGGTTCGTCGTTGAAACCAGACAGACCGAATTCAAATTCATGGATGTACATGTTCAAACCCTTCCACGATGATAGAGACGAGCTTGTGTGGAGGCAGTCTAGAAATTTAGGAAGCCAATCGACTCCCGATCCACTGTCGTACTGCACTTTGTGAAGGAGGCGAGTCAAAGCAAAATGCCGGAAGGTATGCGAGACGAACGTGCATTGTAAAAGGGCTGATCGAGTTTCCGCCAACACTGCTGCGTCTGTTATGGGCTCCAACGAGAGCTCGCCGAAGATCCATTCAAGGAGTTCATTAGGAAGAGTGCCCATGGCGTTTTGGGTAGAGTGGAGGTGAGCGTTGAGCAGAACTTTTTGAGTGCACAGCCACCTGGACGGCAATGTCGCGGTCCATAAATCTCAGCAAGTCATTCAGACATATAATATACATAAAATACACTGATTATAATATAATCCATAACGGCCAGTGTACTCTAAGTCACCAATCTTTGGCTCACTGCAGTTCATCCTTAAAGTCACCAAACGCCCATTTGTAGCAGTCCTGGAGAACGCAAATTCACGTAGGCATCGGCAAAATAGAAAGAATTAGACATACCACACAATCCTCCTCAATGATCGGTTTCGGTACTACATTTCTTCCTTCTCTTCTCTTCTTCTTGTCATTATCATCGCCCTCGCCCTCTTTCCCTTTCCTCTTCTGGCCCAATGATCCGTCATCCTCGACATCTCCATCATCATCACCGTCACCTTCCTCTTCGTCGTCATCGCCCCACCAGACATCCGCCTCTAGCACATTGTGCACGACCTGCTTGATAACATGTCTCTGCACATTAGGTACCCATCCGAGCTTCATGACCGTATCGAAAATGATGCTCTGCCCCAAATGGCAGCGGGTCTCTAGCGCATAGCCGGCCTGAGCACACGGCGACCAGGAGCCTGTGCAGGTACCTTGAGGAATCGGGTCGGCTGTGTGATACACATGGGTAGTGGCGATGGGGTAGTGGGAGGGAGAAGGCGGTGGGTAAGGCGATGGAGGCGTCGGAACAGGAATGGAGGGCTGGCTGCTTGTCGGGAAGGGAAATTTCTGGAGCCAGGACGTGAAGAAATTGCGCTTCTTGTGAGGAGGAGGCTGGCCTGGGACAAGAATAGGCGGAGGAAGGGGAAGATGTAAGCGCGATGCTGCAAGCCTCTCGCCTGGTGACTCGAATGCCACAGCAGGAAGACCATATGTCGCCCCGAGTAAACTTGAAAGGGCACCTCCCAAAGAATGACCGACCAGCCAAAGGTTCGCAGCCGGGTAGATCTTGCGAAGATCATCTACCAGTTTCTGAATTGATCGTGAGAATCAGCAGGTATGCCAGGAGCATGAAGAATGGGATGTCAAAGGGCTTACAACACCTATAGAGTAGAACAAGCTGTCTTGCACTAGAGCATCCGTCAGGCATTGGTTATCACATCGGAAGTTGCGAGCGTAGCAATCGCATACGGTTCGCAACACCCAAGAGAAGTCTACTCGGGCGCAGCAACAGGAGAAAAGCCTGATTCACCGGAAACGGTATTAAGCGTCACAAATCCGAAGTCAGGGTTGGGCTGACGACTCACAGATTATCATTGAATTTGTCGAGCTTAGAGGTAGGCCCTTGTAATGTAGTTCCCTTGATCGACAAGACGATGGTTGTGTTGTCAGAGGAGAGGAATACATGCCCTCTGAAGCCATCTGACTCTTCCCAGCCAAATGGGAAGCTCTGGAGGACAAAAGCGCCATAAGAACTGCGATCAGATTAGACAAGCAGCGGGACAACTCACCGTGTTCCATGCTTGATCAACCTCATACCAGTTGCTCTGACCTGGTAGGGCATATGCATTTCCAGACATACGAGCCAACTGGGTTAGGGTATGCAAGTCCTCGACATCTGGGCCTTGAACCTCCGTCGGATCCCATGCCAACGGCTCTAGTTCACTTTCTGCATGACGCAGAGATCGTAAGCGGGAGCGATGAAGGGCATTAAGGGACCTAGGTCTGAAGACGGTGGTGGGGCGCGATTTGAGAATAGCAGGTGTAGGCGGTAGTGGGTACGACGACGAAGGTGTGAAGTGGGGAGGTTGTTGATTGTCCTCGAGAGTGAAGGGATGCTGGGGGTCTAGTTGGAGCTGGCTCGTAAATGAAATTTGGTTTGCACAGTGCGCATTCCCGGGAAGGAGGAGGAGGATTGCGAGTAGAAGAGATTGGGGTAGCATTGGTGTCCTCGACAGCTAGCCAGGCAGAGAGCCCGAGCAAAGAGATTATGGCTCGGTTCTAATTCGGACCGGCGCAAAATAAGCATCCGTGGGGAAGGAAATCGGAAATTTCCGAAGCCGCGGCACAGATATGTGGCGCACACATGATTAGTACCCCATTTGGCTCACGAATCACCGACTGAGCATTTGAGATTTCTCGAAGGTAAAGAGGTCGACAAATTCTAATCTAGTTGTGTGTACCTATTACTACAGTCAAAACAATAAATACACTGTCATGATCTACTGCAACAAGTCTATTAGGAAGCAAACAAATCATTAAGGTGATACCTGCTATTCGAAGACATGTGAAGAGTGATAAATCCTGGAGCAAAAGCTGTAAATGCTGCCTTCACTTCTTCTTCTTGAGTCTCAAGTATTTTGCTGACACGGTCTCGGCAGGTGGCCACATCATCGGCCAAGTCCTTCAGGATTGCTAGTTTCGGTTTCCCCCGGAACGCAGACTGAATGGAGACATAGTTGACCGTCTCACCGGCGTTCTCCTCTTTGTAGAAAGACAAGACGTCGCTGGTGGTACTACATCAGCTTTTCTTCTTCCCGATTATATATTGGAAAGTAGACTTACTTGACGCAGTTGATGTACATTGTCAATTCGGGAAACGCCTGCAAAGATATAAGATGAGTCAAATTGTTGGATGTCCAGGCAGAAATGAAGAGACATGAAGTCCTGCTGACCTGGATATATTCGCCTATGGCGGCATCTGGCGGAAATACAAAGCAGGCATATGCTTCACCTATTCCCGATAGTATCCTGCAAAAGGTCGGGTAGCCGAAAGCGGCCGTGGATAGCTGTGAACTCGGCATCAGAAAAAAGGACTTATTCTCAAAGTTGAAATTTACCTTCATCCCTTGAGTTCTGTACTCTAATACCATGGAAGTCATGAAATTCAAGGCAGAGGCAATAATGATGTTCGCTTGAATTCCTGTATAATGGTCGTAGACGCTGCGCAGAAAGGATGCCAAAGACTCGAGCAGCTCGTTGGCTTGTTGATTTCCCGAGACAAAGCGACGAGTGAAATGGTCGATTCCGGCAATGTCGTGAGCAAAGTATGTGTCAATCTGGCCTAAAAATGCCGTGTACAGTGCGATGAATACTTGAAGCTCTCTGTTCCTCAGATGACCATATGCAGTTGAGGCCAGAACAACTCCGACTGGAAGGGCCTTCAGGATTGAGTAATTCCCTGCAGAAGCATCGATTGGATAGCCTTTATTTCGAGCTTCGTTGATGCACAGGTTATGGAGGTCTGTGTCGTATGGCACCTCTTCATAATGGAAGTCGCATTGGCGGAAAAAGTCTTCGAAGACCTGGCGGATAGCCTCATTCGAGACAGCCGGAGAAGATTGGTTTTCTTCGTCCTTGGGGCAGATATATCGTCAGCTACCTCTCATCCTCACTCAGAAAATACGAGGCTGAAATACCTTGTTCGTATTCATGCCGCGTTCACTGGACTTTCTATTGGGATGGCGGAGCGGAGTAAAAATATCCAGAGTGCGAGTTTGTGCAATATACGGCAGCTCTATGAGTTTGAGGTTGCTCATTGAGCGCTGAGAGGGAGGACGATTGAGACTTCGAGATGCTTTCTAGGGACGCAAAATCATTGCTCTTATATTCGCTGACCGTGAATTTACTAGCCGGATCGTCTCTGGTGATTTCTTTCGTGTAAACGATGATGGGCCTGGGCCCGCTACAACATGTTGGAGAAGCCGTCCAGCCACAAGGCCCGCGGGTCTGTTATTTTTTTGGGACCGTGGATCTTGGACCCGCCTAATTAGGGTTCCCAACAAGGAACTTCGCCACCTGGATTTCCCTTGTCCCGTGATGGCGTTGTCCTTCCACCTTGCTGGCCTACCGGCGAAAGCGCTCCTGGGATAGCACCGAGATAGAAACACGGTCAGAAATTGTTAATGCGATCCGAATAGATGATTCCGTATCGGGATCTTGCATGCGTCGAGATTGGACCATGAAACACTGCTAGTGAAAGGGGAATTTTACAGGCAGCGCCTAAATAAACGAGAACCATCTTCGTTAGTAGTCTACGTAGGTGATAAGAAGTGTTCACTAAGATATTAGCCACAGAAGTGGCGCAAAACGAGATGACACGATGATGAGATATGCTAGGGCTAGGGGCTAGAGTACACCCGTTACACGCCAAAGAGAGTCTGATAATTATTCTAATCGCCGTTTGGATTCGTGATCGACAGGTATCTGTTACCATTATTAACGTGCTCGAAGGGCAAGTATAACAGCCCAGAACTGTCAATTTGTTGGAGGGATTCCTGAGGTGTGGACCCTGCTCACATCGCAGAATTCATCCTCCGTGGATGAGCTGTCTTCAGTTGATCTATGAATGGCATAGCAATGGCATCGGTGACTCTGATTCACTGTAGGGTATACTTGATTCCGACCCTCTTTCGACGTCTGAGATATATGAAACGCCGACCCCCTCCAACTCCACGGGTTTTGGGCGTTCCCGCGTTCCCGCGTTCACAAGTGACGATTAATCATCGTCAGTCAAGCCATAGTCCTCGTGTATGCGCCTTATCGTCGTCTGTTTCAAAGTAGCCAGCTTAAATCGAGAGTATCATCAGCCCCGAGGGAAAGAAGAGGCGATGACAGACAAAGCATTACTCTGCCAATCAGAATCTATGGGGAGAGATTCTAGAGTCAGGAAGACAGAATCATCTCTTATCGCAACGCATATATCCACCTGACAAGCATCCTTTGCCTCGTTGTATTTGTGCAACAATTGAATGTGTCGCTTGACGATTTTTTCAGGGTCTTCGTTGGGCCTTAACATAAGTGGCGTCAGGGAAGAAAGAAGGCCCATATATCTAGGATAAACAAGCGTACCCGAGTTTTTCTTGTAGCTTGTCTATCTCAAGCTGAAGGGCAATAGTCTTTGCCTGTTGCGCCTGATGAAAACGGTGAGATGCGCTAACGATTGAGTGTTGTTCAAGCCCGACCTTCTTATTTATGGCGATGTGCATGTTTCAGTGTAAGAGGAAATCAAGTTTAGATGAGATGCAGCAGAGAGAATCCAAGTTCCGCGAGCCAGATGCGGCGGGCCGTGTTTACCCCAAAAAGGCTAGCCAAACTCCAACCAACGCCAAGCTCTGTGGCGCACGCGCTGGTCTGGACGCCACGATGGGCCGCGGAGAGGTTGAGCTAAAACCCAATGACTTTACAAGAACGCCAATCCCAAAAAAACCAGAAATGCATAAAGTCAACCAAGCATCAAGAACCGTAATATTACAAAGAGGAGAGTAGTAGAAATAGATATGTACAAAAGGGAGTAGTAGCGGAGAAAGAAGGAAAGAGTCAGGTTGTCGTTAACGTTGAAGTGGGGTTCCGCGAGAATCGAAGAGGTGGGGGCATAGTAAAAGAGGAAAGGAAGGTGGAGGAAGAGCGAAACAGAGAGAGACCGTTCATAGGGTTGGCATAGGAAGGCAGGGGGATAATCTAAGCAAGGGTCCCAAAAAATATAGGCAGGCAGGTATCAAGAAGTGCGAAAGGGGATATAAATAACCATCGTGAAATTCCGCATTGAAACGAGAGATAAAGGCGAAGGCGAACGGCATTACCGAAACAGAAAATCCAATCTAAACCAACACTGAATTGAAGGGGTATTCCGCAAATACCTGGAATGACGGCGAGGGTCCCATCACAGCAAACCGCTCTCTTCCATGCTATTTCGCCTTCCACCACCCGGAGCAGGCGCACCAAATCCACCCGTGCCGGCAAGGTCAATGAACCGCGTTACGCGCTTCATCGCTCTTGAGCTCATTGCCCACCGCTCATCGGCCTCCTCGTCGCTTCCGTTCTTGCTCGCGTTGTGCGCATGCCGCTCGCACAGCATCCGCCCGTCGACCTCCCAGTACTCGTTCAGTCGTTCGCGGCACTCGGGGTAGCCTGGGTATTCGCATGTCATGTGTTCGGGGTGGTACCGGTCGCCCGTGTGTGATACGGCGCACGGGCCCTCGATAGGCTGCCCGCATCGTGCGGCGGCGCAGAGGGAGTCGTTTGCTTCGTGGTAGTGGTAGGCGCATAGAGGCTTGCCGTCGTATACGTAGAATGTTTTATCAGGGAATGATTTCTGTATTATAATGTCATTAAGTCGAGAAGAGACGGATAGAAGAGATCGAACGTACGTGGCAAATATGGCAGTTAAAGCAGTCTCGATGATACTTGCCCTTAAGCTGCCCATCCGAAGACGATACAGCTGCCTTCTCAATTGGCAAATTGCATCGTCGACACTGCAGTTAACAACATCAGCACAACCACCAAAAACCAATCAGAAAGCCAACGTACCTTGGGCAGATACATGTTCTTCCAGCACTTCTCACACAGCACGCCCCCATTATCCACAGACACCCAACGACCATTATCGATCGTCTTCTGGCACTTCAAGCACACCTTCACCTTCTTCGCTCTCTCCTTCTTCACCCTCGCCCCATCCGCTCCGAGCGCCTTGTCCCTCTCCAATTGCGGACTCGTCAACGACCGCGTAGGCAGCTTGGGCAGCTTGATTGGCTTGACGTCTGGGGAGTTGACGACGCCCTGCACAGTGTTGCTCCGGTGCAAGAACCCGTCCTCGTCTTCCTCGTGGTCGTAGTCGTGTCGTTGCCGGGATGAGGAGGCCTTCGACGATACTGTGTCCATCCTTCGGAGGTCGACCGAGTCGCCCATCGCCCGCTGCTTGCCCGATGCCGTCGAGTTGCTCTTCCCCAGGCCATTTGGCCGCCCATCGTCAGCATCCAACACAGCACCAGGCCCACCCGGTCCTCTGCCTGTCGAATACACACTCCGGCCGGCGCTGCTGCTCCCACTGGCGCTCCTCGCTCCTCTACCCACCACACCGGGTCCACCGAGCCTCGAGTAGTCGCTCGGCAGGGCCTGCGAGAGCCCCAGTGCCTGGGCAATAGCTGACGAGTTTGAGCGCGAGCGGCCGAGATCTGCCCCTCCTCCTTCTCTTCCACCATCACCCCTACCGCTCGAAACCGAGGAGTACGACGACACCGACCCATCACGCGAATGTCCCATCCGAATGCCCGTGCGGTCGTCTCGTCGTTCGAGGCTCCTGTTCGACCGCCCCGATACAGAACCGAACTGTATGCGGCTGGTGCCAGAGGCATTCGACCCCGAGCGGAGGATGGAGGCAGGTAGGCCATCTTTGAGCGGCGGAACTGGGGGCGGCGAGTCCTTGCGTCTCTTCGGGGGTGCGTCGTCTTCGTAGTCCGTCGAGTCCGCGTATGCGAGTCCACTGTATTCCGATTCCGAGTAATTGGGCGATGGAGGCCGTCGTGTCGCCGATTGTGATCTCAGCCGTCGCGAGGCGGTCGTACTGGAGCTCATTGTGCGCGAGTGCTCAGGAGGAGGCGGCACACTCCGTCCCCGAGATGACGTCGAAGCTGACGTGTCAGCGCGCGGCCGAGTCATATTAGATGTTGCCATATCGTTATTAGTAGTAGCAGTAGCAGTAGTGTCGTTGGTTAAGATATTCGAAGGAGGCGTCTGTTCAGAAGGGCTGATCCCGGGTATTTTGTTCTTGAATTTCTCGAAGAAAGGAAGGCGGTTTACGATGGGAGAGGACGTAGACATGTTTATAGATGCAGCTGTGAGTGGCGCCGGTGATGGCGGTTTGGGGGGCAGCGGCTGTGCTGACGCTGATATAAAAGGGCCAGGCGGAGATGGAGTCCTTTGGATCTTGGTAGGCTGTGGTGCAAACTCTGATTGTGCTAGTGGAGAAGTCGGTCCAGGCGAATGTGAGGAATAGCCAGAACCTGCGGATAAAGGTGGGGTGCTGGCAGCTGGTGGTGGTGGTAGAAGAGAAGTTTATGAGATGTCATTCAGCAGGGATTTAAGAGGGAGAACTCACAGCGAGTTGCGGCATCAATGTCAAGAAACTGAGGGGCATTGGGTCTCCGATTGTACTGCGGCTGTGGGCCCAAAGGTCTGTCACTTGGAGCCACGAACATCGCGGCGCGTGCGGCAGCTGCGAAGCCCCTTCTACCCACTCCTGCCATCCCTGCTTCACCACCTGATTTGGTATCGATACCTCTTTCGGCGGGAGGAACGAACGACTGGTGCGACCCAGCAGGAGGCAGCCGGATATTGGGAGGAAGACCGCCAGCTGGGCCCATGCTGATACTTCCAGCTGGTGGCCGCATAACTCTCGGACCCATTGCGTTTGGCGGAGGCATACCTGGTATCCCTTGACGAGGCGGCATACCCATCGCACCCGGAGGTGGAGGACCATTGAAACCAGGACCACGATTCGGAGGAGGGAAAGCACTGCCAGGTGGAAGGGAACCACTACGAGGCGGCGGTAGGGCTTGCGCGGGCGGAGGGGGAAGGGGACCTGTCGGACTTGGACCTCGTATCGGACTGTTCACAAATGGGGAACCGGTCCTGAGGGGAGGTGGGGTGGTTTGGACTGGAGTCGCGTCGCGGTTGAAGGAGATCGGTGGACGAGCGGTTGCAGGTGTGTTATGGGTCGAGCCGGCATTGGATGGGGTGCGTGCACGGAAGGGATTGCCTGGTGGCGGCCGCGTGTTGAGAGGGGATGATGTTGGACCGATATCCCTGGGACGCGGTGGGCTCATGTTCGACCTCTCTGGCTCTGTGCGCGATAGCGGACTGGGCTTCATCTGGAAACTGGGCTGCGTCGGAGAATTGGGACTTCTGGTGTTTATTCTGAGGCGAATGCTGCTCGCGGAGGAAGTCATGCGCTGGTGTTGCGGGAAATCCATCCTCGGAGGCGACAACGCGGCAGGTGGTGAAGACGCAGAAGGAGAAGCGACTCGACCTTGGAGACGTTCTGGGAGGAGGGCGGTGGCAGCTATTGGTGTGATTGAGGGCTTTGGGAGGGTTGGGACTGGGGGCGGGGCGGTACATGTGTGTTCTCCGAGCTCTGAGAGAGGGACTGGCTGGTGACAAGTGGAGCATTTGACGCTGGGGAGCAGCTGGGACATCCTTCCTGACTCTGGGGCATTGTTGGCGGTAGATGTGGGGGATAGCAGCGAGGCAAGCATTGCAGCTGGGTCGCTGCTGATGGAAAGGATAGTGGGTGTACTTTTGACGACCGGCGCGTAGAGTTGGATAGGTGGGCTATTAGCTAAAGACTAATGAAGACGAAAAGGGAGGGTAGCCTGTTGACATGACATGGGAGAAGAGTCCAAGTAACGCAAACTCGCAAATCACAACAACCTGACTCGCTTGGCATACTTTGTTCTCACTCTCCTCCTCACCGTTCCCCTCGTCGTTCTACACTCTAAACCCGGACCTCGTTGGATTCGCTGAACGCACACCGCCGTCATCAAGCCCGCCACGCCACGACACGACACATGCCCATTCTCGTTCGTCTCTCCTTATCAGGCTCCTTCCTCCCTCCCTCGCGGCGCGCGCTCCACCATACCCATGCTATGTCACCGTCATTTATCCCGACTGAAGCTTCCCAGAAGTCAATAACATACGCCGCCGCACGTCAAACGCCTCTCAAAAGCCTCTGTAGCAGTTGGTCTCTACGTCTCCAGTTCTCGAACCTGGGAAGTCCTCATCCCCGGGTCCATTCAGACGCATTTCCAAGCCGACAGACGGATGGGGTCCGAGAAGCGGGCGGGCCACCTTCGATAAGCAACACCTGCGCTGTCCACGAGATCATCAGCAGGCAGCCAACATCATTTCTTGACGCAGAGATCTGCGCACATGTGATGCTCCAGGGAGGTTCCCTATTTTCCCCTCTATTCAAATAATTCACCTCTTCTGCTTCCTCCTGCACGCCGTTTGCGCGCCATCGAACATGTCCAGGTCCTGACGTGGATGTGCACACACAACTGCGTCATGTTCACGTAAGTCACGTAATTCGAGCCTTCATTTCACTCTTCAGGTCCGACATCAGGGTTTCACGGAGCCGCTTCAATCCCAAGGCTATAGTCTATCAGAGTCTATCTCTCGACCTTCTGCAGAGAAAGGCCTGAACAGGTGCGAGCGCCCCTCTCTTCTTAGGAGGACATCAGATGTTCGGGGAGGACTCTGGCCATCCTCGGCCTGGTATGTGCAAAATCTCTCACGGCGGCGCACTCACGAGCGCCCCAGAAGACTGATAGGTGGGTTTCGAAGCCGTGGATCAAAGGAAGCTTCGTCGCCGATGCCTCGGTGTGTGCGCGAGGGGTGCAGACAGCGGCCATCTGGCACTGCACTATTACTCGCTGAAGTTCCTTTCCTCTTCTCCAACTCTCAGTAATGTTCGAACTTACTCCCTCCCTCCCTCCCCGACATCCCCGAGACTCCCGACTTGCTCTCCCATGTTTCCACATACATGAGGACTTCTAGTCACCGGTCACCCATCACAACACAGAAGCCAGCAAAAAAAACCTGCGCGAAAGCCGCCCAAGACGCTGCTTTTTTGCCGAGTGTTCTGTGTGTTCTCGCGCGCGTCCCCACATGACCCACCGACATAAGCCGACATACACCAGGTGTATAGGCTCCACTGCCCAGAGGCGACTCATTTATCCGCTGAATAGAGTAGCGCGTTCGAACTTCGATATATTCACAGTGGTGCATATCTAAAGCTGTCTTCCTGGTTCCAGCACAACTTTGATGTGTACGTTGGTATTTGAAAGTAATATATTTTTAGTACTTACTAATAAAGATAACTATCTCCCACGACCCTGTCATCTGGATTAAGTAACACATGAATTCCTCCAGTGCTCTTTGGGAATAATGTGACGCATATGTAAGGGCGGCGGTGACCCTGTCTAGGGTAGAGATTTGGTGGCATGGATGAAGGTCAAAGATGAGATGATGGCATGAAAATGAGCCTGATCAGTGATTAGATAAGTTTCAAGCAAGTATCGAGCGCTTACATTTTATTTAGCTCTTCCATCCTTTATAGCCATTCCCTATTCAACCACTATGCCTCAAATTATTGGCTCACTGTCAGCAGGGGCTCTCAGTATTTCAAACCCCCTCTATGGGCGCTCGGGTAAGCAATAAGCCCGCCTTGCGTTTGCCGAAAGTTGATTCAATCAACTTTCGAGAAATTGCTTGAGTGGAAGGGGCTCGAGGGGAGGGGAGGAAGCGCGGCCTTGTGTGATGGTCACGTTCCTCGATGACCTCACCTGTCTCACCTCACCCTTGTTCCCGTACCTACATAGTCTAGGCCCCTTCGTTTGTCCTCGCTAGTTGAAGCAACGCACCTCTTGTCTCCTCCATCCACGTCCACGGCAGCTGAGTCTTGACCGTGACACCTTGGGGATAGTTTGAGTAAGTAAATTTCAATAAAATAAAATACACAGCGCATTCAAGTTGGCTCTAAATTCATGACCCTTAGGCCCGCTGGAAGTCGCTCGGAAGGACAGAACGCCCCGCACGACGGAGGGGGGAAGGCGAGCGGCACTAAGCTCCAAATCCGTGGACAGTCACAAAGAGCTTCAGTGTGTATGCGAATTTATTTCAGATTCCAAGTCCCCCACTACCTGCATGCCCCATGCGAAGCCCAGCCAAACCTCTAGTACTATATAAAGTGAAGTTGTTTATACCCCCAACACCTTTTAAAATCAAGGTCGACTGCGGCCGCAGCGCCCCCACGCGACGGAGGGGCGAGGACAAGCAGCCTCTAGAATGAGATATTATTTTCTACAATTTATCTTCACTATCAGAGGGTGAACAACCCCAAAGAAAAGAGAGCAACCCAAGTCCCGTGCAGAGCACAGGCAAAGATACATTATTACAAACCAATACACACAGAAAAGGAGCTTATTATCGAAAGAAGCATCGGCACATATCATCGATACTTCTAATTTTATTCTACCCTTCAGCGTGTCGATTTTCATCACGATGAAGCTGTTCAGCCTCGATTTCGGTGAAGAAGGCATCCGCCAATGGTGAAAGATGGTCAGAAACAGCGAGACGATATCCAGTCTTGAACGCTATGTAAAGAGGATCACTTGGACGAGGACGAGGGTAATAAGGATCATTCGAGAAGAAAGAAGAGGTTAACTTCTCAATGTCGCTTTCTTCCTTTGTCCACTTCCGCATCTTGGAAGAGATGGAGTCAGATATGATGTAATCAGTTGACAATAAGTGAAAATACCTGATTGAAATCAATGACCCAAAAACTGAAGGTACTGTATCCGCTTCCACCCAGCACGAACTCGATATCGCGTCCGTCATAGGATGCACAGAAATGAATGCGCCCTAACATTTCGCCCATTCCTTCCGCAACCTTCTCCAGTGGATCCAGATCTTGGGGAAATAGTTCGTACAGGGCTTGATAGCGCCGGGCATCGAGCGGAAAATTCTGCGAGTTTATGAAGCGCGGCGGCTTAGACTGCAATGGAATCTCTTTGCCGAAGTACAGGCGGCAGAGCGAGGGTCCAATATTAACGCCTTGAGGAAAGTAGGATTGTCTGAGATATGCCTTCGCCGCCGAAGGTAGATCATGTACACGGTCGAGAGCGTACGCCGCTCTGTCGAAAGGATCGAATTCATCCTCAACGACGATTTGGCGAGGGGCACGACGAGAAGGTTGGCGCGGCGGCGACGGTGGAGGCATGCGGAAGGCGGGACTCGCCCCCTGAGGCACATTTAGCGCAAGGGCCCTTGGTATGGCAAAGAACGAGTCGTTGTTGCACCGATAATAGAGCGAGTGGCAGGCGTCGTACTCCCGTACGAGAGCGTCTGCATTTTGAGGGTTTTGCACAACCTTGAACACCCAAAGTTTGGCGGAGACAAAGTATATTTCGGCAAAACTACCGCGGCCGATGCAGACAGGGGTATCGGACAAGACGACGGGGTCCATCGATTGGTGGTGGTGGTGGCTGAACAAGTGGTGTCTCATTGCGAGCAAAGCAAACTAAAAGGGGGGGGGCCAGACAAACAAGGCCAAGCTCTTGCTGCGGAAACTGAGTCTCGGAGCCGTATTGTATGGGATCTAGGTCATATTTTCCTCTGTAAAGCTCCATGTAGACTATTTATATGTCATAAAAGATTCTCCAAGAAAAATCCCCTTGGGAGCCTTCATTATGAACTTTGGCAAGAGTTTGCAGTCGATATTCAACCCACCACCCCAGCCGTCGACTCCGAGCCGCCCCCAGCACCGGCCTCGCAACTCGGAGCCGATGAGGTTGAGCAACAGCACGGGGTCAATGTCTCCTCCTGCCCTGCCCCACCACCACTCGGATCCTACGATATTCCCCTTCTAATCCAGCACTATCCATCGGACATACGAGGGCTTGCCATTGAAAAGGTCGTGAAGGGGTATAAGTCATTACTAAAATAAATACGGCTGTCCAGTTCTTCTAGTCCAATGTTCGTGCAATGTTCGTAGTAGCAATCTCTAGCCGCCTAGCCACAACAAGCGCTTAACGCCATACTCCATCTTGGCGTACATGCTCGTCATCCGCTGCGCTTCCGCCAAGCTATATAACGGCATAAAAACGCAGATCAATCAGCGCCTAATTACCGAAGATAAGGAACAATATGCACCTAACCACTGGCTCCTCGACGAGGAACGTCTTCCCTTGTGCGCCTCCAACGTCCTCACACGCTCTATAGATCCTCTCGACAATGAGGTCGGCTGCCTCTCTGCATGTCGCTGCCCCTTGCATCTCATCCGTAGTCTCAACGTACGTGGTGCTCGTCGTCGACAGCTCGCTCGCGGCGCTTGACTCCCTTCTTACCCGCGCAGGGTCGATCGGGAGCACCTTGAACGCAGCAAAGTTGATCTGCCCCGATCCTGCGCTGGCAAACGTCGTGCTGGCGAGGACGTTCGACAGGGCTGGAAGCGTATTGCTCCGTGTGCGTGTACGGTTGCGGCCGCCGGTGGGCGTGGATGGAGAGGTGGGTGTAAAAGGCGATGTAGGTGTCGATGGTTGGCGCGGGGTGCGTGGCGAGCGCGGTGACGGAGGTAGAACTAGTGGCGAAGACATGTCGAGACTGTTCCGTACAGAATAGCTTGTAATCCGCGACTCCTGATGGGAGCAGACCCAAGTCAGAACGAACCCTGCGTTCTGCTCTGGGTCGCAGCTCGATTCTTCGAGTGGGGATAAGATATATGGGCCTGTACACGACACATCAGGAGAGTGCACCCTCGAATGGTGTGCTAAATTCGACGAACCCTTACTGATTCCGATGATGTCTCCGAGAGGGATACGGGTATACAACTTTACCTTCTCAAGGGTATAATCATAGCTCTGTTCGACGTCAGGAATGGCTCATACTTTCAAACTTCGCACGGAACGTCAAAGAAACTTACCACAATGTACAAAGCCTTCGCCGACTATTAAGAAAAACTTTCTCGTGAGCGAACATTCCAGGCTTCCTTCCGTGAGGATTTAAAACCCACCAATAGTAGGACTTTCTCTTCAAACTTGATCCCAATCCTAGTGTTCAGTTCTTCAGGCGCAAATAGCGTCCAACCGGATAGCAGGCGTTCGCCTTCCGGTAGTACTCGAGAAACGGAGGTCGAGATAGCTTCGGCGCGGATCCTCGAAAGCCGAATAAGATCACGAGGATCGGTCGATTTCAGCTTGAGGAGGAATTCGGAGAACACGGATGTCGTCCTATTTCCGAGCATGAAGTCGATGACAGCCTGACAGAACCAGTCGCTGAAAGTTGAGGTATACATCCTGAATAGCATTTACGCTGGGTAAATATTGACGGTGGTCCGTTGCGTGGCGAAAGGGACAGACCTAGCCAGGGAGTTGACACCATCATTCAGCATACCGCTCAGATCGCGTTTGCCGGTCCTAACACTCCAATGAGAATGTAGAATGTGACTAGAAGTAACAATACAAACCGGGTAAAATCCCCCTACGAGGAGAGCCAATAAGAATCGCAGTTTATCTTTAGACAACGGTCACGATAGGACAAACCTTGAGTGCAGAAGTCCCGGCGCTGGATTCGGCATAAGTCTTGCGTTCATGCTTGATTTCGGAGACTTACTAGGCTCGACTAATGGCGTCGCCATTATTGGCCCACACTGTACAATTTCATCAAGAACATATCCAGGAAAACCGAGCGCACACACACCGTCGTTGAAGGCCGAATCGGCATCGGCCCTTGCTGGGTTGGAAGGGTTCAGCAACGCCACGGCGCCGAGTTGCTTGGTTAGGACATATCGCGCGAAAGCCGACTGAAGATTTCCTCAGTTGTCCGATCAAGACTCAAATCGCCCCCCTCACCTGTACAACGTTTGTCCGGTCCAGGCAGTCGATGCAGTTGACTCGGAAGACACCTTTCTGCTGGGAGAATACGACGTTGTCCGAGACCCAGAAGTACCTTAATGAAATGATGAGAAAGGAAGGCGAAACGACAAGATGAGGAATGACATTACCCTTGGGATTCAAACGTTCTCTCCATAGTTTCAATCAAGGAAGAGATGTTTTCATACCTAACATAGACTAATGAGAGGGCGAAGCACGGAGGACGCACTCCAGACTCACTTCATGCCTTTCGTTTCGGTATGGAAGTCATATTCGCAGTATCTGTTCTCCAAATTAGCTGAGCCACCACTTTGGCGATGAAGACGTACTGGGCGTCCTTCATATTCAGTTCATGCATGTATTCCCTGTAAGCTTGAGTAATGACACCTTCCTTTCCTTGTTGTTCGGCGAGGTTGACGACAGTCTGTTAATTTCGTCAGTCAGAGCAAAAGGTGGGCCAGAGAAAAACGGACATGGGGTCCATACACAGGAATTGTCTTCTGAAAATGCCTTTTCAGAGTGTCTAGATTCTGGAGAGGTGTTCTATCAGATGCCAATACTGGCGGGGGTTTCAATCCGTATCCCAGCTGGGTCCAGAACAGAGGTACTAAGATGAGATCGGTCAACTAGAAATACTATGCTCTAGGTCCACAAACTTGATCCTCGGATTTGAACATAAGCGAAGATGTTTTCCTTCTTCTCTCGCTGGTTGATTACACTGTCAGAGTTTGATAACGTATATGAAGCAAGATCGCTAACCTCTACTCGCATGATCGTCTCTGTTTCGACGAAGTTAGCAACATGTGCCTCGTCATCGATGCCTCTCCGCTGGTATCGCAGCCCTGGACGATACCTCGACCGTCGAGACACGATGATATAGTCGACTGGCACTTCGTCGTCAACAGAAACAGGGTCGGCGGGAATACTGAATCGAGTAGCTTGACAGTATCCTTGCATTATAGGAAGAACGTAAGGATGCAACTATAGAGAAAAGTTTGTGTCATTGTATCGAGAAAGGGTAGATGGCTTGACAAAAACTTACGCCAGCATCAATGAAAGGTTTCGACATCCATTCATTCCACCAAAACTGTTTATCCACGCGTCTCCAAAGCGGCAATGCATGGTGGGGCTCAGTCAAAGGTGAGATAGATGCAGGACTGGTCGATTGCTTTGTGTCTTCTGTCTGATGATGCTCAGGGCTAGGAAGAGCACCAAGACCAGCTAGAAGATCGTGCTGCTTCTGGAGCTTGTGAAGTTGCTCTTCTTTGTGCTGTAAAGAGCGAGTGATGTCTACATTGTGGTCAGAGAAGTGCCTTGTTCAACGGAGAGACAGGAGTTACCAAACGCATACGCAAAATACATGCCACCCTTGGTGAATTCTCGTATACATTCCCGAACAACTTTGGTTTCCAATTCCGAATGCCGTTCTTCGACAGTTGCTGGAGGTGGAGCAGTCGAGGCTAGTATCGTTTCTATTACTTCAGCTGGCTCCTCCTTCATCAATCTGTCGAGAACTTCTTGTTCTTCATTCAGCGACATGGGCTCGTGAACTAGAGGGTTAAGGGAATCGGATTGAGGGTGGGTTCTCTTGGACAATCTACTCCAAAAAGACAGGCGAGTTGCCAACGTCTTGAAAACAGGCGACGTGTTGGCTGACATTTCAGAGCTTTGAGCCGAAATGTCCGAGGCAGATGATTGTGCAGAAGAGGGTCGTTCAATCGAGTTTCCTAATTCATTGTTTGACGAGGGTGAATTACCTCCCAGGAGCATCTTGATAGAAGGGGTGGAAAGGAATTTGACCCGAGGGGATCCTTCACGCGAAGCGTCGCTACTTTGTAGCTCTTCGTCTCCATCTATGCTGAGAACCCCCGAGTTTGGCGGTTGTCCAAGCTTTGGAAGGAGGGAAGGTCGAGTGTGCGCCGCATCTCGTGCAGCCAGAGTATTCAACGCAATCCTAGCTCGCTCTTCGACCAAGGGAATATCAATGACATGCTTCACACCATAGACTAGATGTCGAGGGTCCAGGACTTCCTCGACGCGTTAGTACTCTTCTCCATCCAGTGGATGTGAGAACTCACTACTCCCAACTTCGGTTCTCGACGTGATAACGAATAGATACGAGCCTACGGTGCTGCGTCAATCACCAGGAACTCCCTCACCAAGGAGATGAGACGCACAAGAGAATAACTCCAGCATTCCCGCGATCCCATAAACGACCACGCAGTCCTTCCAATCCTGCTCATCGTCCGGACGGCTTTCCAATTCGTCGATTTTGACATGCTTTCCCCAGGACATGCAAATGTATGAATATGGTTCGGAGTCGGTGTGGGGTGCTAAGCTCTTGCCAGCGTGGTGCGGCCTAATCAGCAGACCCTGCTTCGTCACCAGCAATGCTAGATGACTATGCGGACTGGGATGAGGTGTTGGTGGAAGAACGTATTTGGGGTGGAGGCCAGTCGTGTGAGATAAGGTTGGATTGGATATTCGGGCGGCAGGGTTGGACCCTGTGGGTTGGGCATCGGTCGTCGTTGTCTTCTTCGATGGTGCGGCCTGTGCGAAGGGGTTGGTGGCCTTCGCAAAGAACCGCTTCATCGTCGGTGAGAGATGGCAGAGGGAAGAGAGGAGAGAGAGAACGCCGAGCTTTGATGATCGCTCAATCAGGTCGGCTACGAAATTCTGTGCCTCACTGACGTCGTTGCCCTTTTCCGTCACTCACTGCCCACTAGCCCGCGTTAGAAGTACACTCTAAATTCGAATATCGGTAGTCAAGAGTCCAAGCGAACTAATACGCAAGAGCTAAAGAATAGACACTAAAATATGTGACAGGGCAGAAAGGATTTATGTATCCGAGACGATTTATTTAAAAATATACTACTACTTATAATTACGAGTAGAAATCGCAAAGCAGTATAGCAAGGGACACAGCGAGTTAGAGATAGAGAAGAAGGCGAAACAAAAAGTTCGAGAAGATATACAACATATTTTTGAGGCGACGAGTCCGATTCGAGTCCGTACGAGGTGTCTGAATATCTAGGTTAGGTAGCACGTTGCTGCTGGCCTTGGCCCGGGGCTTGTCCTTGTTGGAATCCTCCATGGGCAGTGTTGCCGAATCTAGAGAAGAAAGTATCCCATTGACCTAGAGGACGTACCACAACCGTCAATTCCGTTCAGGGAAGAGCGCAACAAAAATCAACTTACCCCAATCGAACATCTGTCCAGGAATACCCTCCAAGAAGCCGTTATCAGCCATAGCATAGTCGGCAAGGTTCGAGCCTCCCTGTGCAGCATCCAAAACGTTCATGACCTGCACGTTCCCGGGGGCGGATTGAGCTTGGAGATTCATGGCCGGGTTGACGTTCATGAAGTGTCCTCCTCGTCCACCACCAGTCAGGGGTGTCAGATTAACCAACGGGGCGGTCGTTGAGCTGCCGGCAACAACCGAGTGCTGCAATTGGTGGTCATTAGCTGAAAAAGAGCGAACCGCCGACACCGCAATCCGGGATGACGAGGGTGAAGTAGAGGCGGAATTGGCAAAGAACATGGACGGCGAGCGCAACGAGACGTTAGACGGCGCAGGAGGGGCGAACATGGATGGTGACGCAGGGATCGACGATGACGAGGGGGACGAATGGGCGCGAGCACGGTCATTATCGTTCACAGCGGGAGGAGAAACAGCTGAAGTTGTAGCAGCAGCGTTAGCCGCTGCTACAAGCGACGCTACCTCACCTTCAGATTCTCCGTCTCCATCTTCCGAGGACCCACTGATGACGGTCCCTTCGGGCAGGTCCTTGAGCTCTGCGGGCTTTCCATGGGCGACGAAGACGCCTCCGCCAGGACGCGTGGGGTCCTTCTTGTAGTCCAGCAGGACTGGCTGCTTCGAGGTGACACCACCCGTGGGGTTAAGCGCCGGGGTCTCTATAGGCAATTGGGGGCCTAGCGTAGCTTCGTAAAGCAGTGCGATAATCTCCGCCGTCTAGAGAACATAAGAAAGAAATGAGACGAGCAATTAGCCAAACGAAGGAGGAGGCATATCCGCCCGCTTAAACAATGGAAAGGAGACCAGCCTTGCGTCTAGCGGACATATGGTCAGGCGAAATGGCTCCTTCCCATCTTCGTACACAATCCCGAAGCTGGCGCAGCTTCGCTTGAGCTTGCTCATCCTTCCGTCGGATGAAAGTATGGTACTAAATTTGACAAGATTAGAGTCGTACGTTGACACAAGAAGGGAAGTGACGATGCCTGAACAAGTGCACAAGAAGTCGCTCCATACGCGATGGGCAACCAGACGTCATACACTCTTTCGTGGGTATCTAGCCAATCGATGGTGTCAGACGTCATTTGAACGAGCTCGGTCCACTGCTCAACAGTCAAGCTGAATTTGAGATGTGCTGGACAAGAGTAGCTGATCCTCATAAAGACCCGCCAAAACATCATGCATACGCAGCCGTAAAGCAGGTGAAGAAGACCTAAAAATACTAAGACAGTCCGTTCGGCTCATCGTATAACCTGCTTACCAGCTGTCCTTGAGGTTTCTGGGCCTACAAACTGGAGATGGTCAGGTAGACCTTCCTTCCAACGCTTCATGTCTGAAAGCAAGTCCTCCAACATGTCATCCGTTGTAAAAGTCAGGCCAGATGGACTAAGATAAAATTAAACAAAAAGAAATAAGCGGGCCTTTCTTCCGTTTGCTTACCTGTAGATGGTCTTTTGAACACGGCCAAGGAGGATGCTTAGGCGTACGAGCTCATCCATGTAGAGATCAGTCGGATCGCCAGACGACGGTAGACGAGTATCACAGTCCTGGACGTCAATCATGTACGGGTGTCCATACGCTATACTTGTCCTGAAAGAAACTGTCAGAAGGAGAACGTAACACATCAAGAACCACCCCTCACCATCGGTCACTGATAAGACAGGCGCCCCAGAGGCGCCTCCGCAGCTCGATGTTCTGTTTCACAGACTCCGCCCTGTGCAGCCCCAGATCCTGTGCCTACGTCGAAAAAGGCAAATGAGGCGGCGGTGCACCGAACACACGGAACCTGGACCTTACCATTCTGATGGCCGCGCCCAAGCGGATCCAGAGCGCCGACAGTGCGTTCGGAACAAACTGCGAGTGACCGTCTCCGGTCATGCACAGAATGAGGAGGGCCTGCACGTTGACGATGCTCGCGGTCGAGAGGACATCCTCGGCCTTGAGGATGGCGTTGACCGTGTACCGGATCGAGTCAAACACGTTTTGCGGTACCTCGCGCCTGGCCGCCGCGACCAGGCACATAGAGTAAATTAACACCGGAGGCGGGTTCGGAGTCGCAAGAAACTCGGCCTCGGTAACGATGGGGAGAATAGGCGCCACATCGGTAAAGTAGGCGTTTATGAGGTTCTCGATGACGTCGCGCTCAACGTGCAGATCCAGCGGCTTGGAATGGACCATCGCCGCCTGATCTTCGCTCGACGGCTTCTGCACTTGGATCAACCCGTCGCCGGACTTGCTGACCTCGAAGGTGTGCTGGTATCGTTGATCATAGTTTTCGTAGACGCGAGAATTGATGGTAGCTTGAGAGTGCAATAGGTGTGCAGTTGAGGTAGGTCCTAAGCCGTTATGTAAGTCCGTACTAAGAGGAAGAGAGAAAGATGGGGGCATGGGTGCAGTGTGACATACCGAAAACTCCAATGTCGCGTTTCGGGGCGGAACCCTGGTGCGAGGGGCCAGCTTTCGGAGCCTCTGGTGATGTTGCAGCGGTGGCGGCTTTTTCCTTTTCTGCTTCTTCTTCTAATTTCTTCTTCTTGAATCGCGTTTCCGTAATAGGCAAGAAAAAGGTGCACTCAAATCCGTACTGCTTGCAATGCTGGCAGACGGGCGGTTCCTGCACACAAATACATCAGTGCGATGATAGGGCGTTTCGAGACGGTTATTCTCACCGAATCAAGAATAACGTCGCATCGAATTTTCCGACTGCGACATGAGTCGCATGCTCGTTGCTAAAATTTCAGGATTCGTCAGCGAAAAAAGAGCTTGCACGGTCGCAGGAACCTACTGACCGTCTTGGTGCGCTTTTTGAGATCGACCACACTCGACGAGGTCTGCTGGGGCGTCGCAGATGGACGTGGTGCATCACTGCCTGACGCAGCGGTGTCTTCATCAGAACCTCTCTCAGCAGCTTTACCGCGTCCACCTTCAGTCATCGACTTACGCTTGCGCTTCGTACCCGTGGTGGAAGCCGAGGCTGACGGATCGGGCTGTGGCGTGTCGGGAGGGAGGCTCTGGCGCGGAGGAGGAGGATACATCATCATGGGCTGGGGATACTGTGCGTACGGTGGGTAGCCGTGGTGTGGGTACGGGTTGTGCATCGGATAGGCATACTGAGGCGGAGGCGGATGGGGGGACATAGGTTGGCCGGGATTCATGGGCTGGCCGTGTGGAGGTGGGTGCTGGGGGTGCTGGCCGTATGGTGAACCGTTCATCGGGTACGAGGGATTCATGATGTGGTACGGAGGCCCGGGGTATGGCTGGAATATGGGGCCGCGGGGGGGAGGGTAGGAGGGCTGGGCGGGTGCTGGAGAGACATTGTGAGAAGAGGGAGAAGATGTTCGGAATGGACTCACGGTGGACAGCAGGAGCAGGAGGGGCCTGTTGCGGTTGGGGCGGGGGCTCGTCCTTCTGCTTCTGGGCGGGGTCGGCGCGCTTTCTCTGCCGCGGTTTCTTGGTCGCAGTGGAGGACGGCTTCGGGGGTGGTTGTGTCGGAGTTGGCGGCAGCGGCTGGGGCGGCACTGGCGGCTGTGGAGGATTGGCAGGGGGACTTGGTTCGCCGGGTGGTGTTGTCATCCTGACTTCTCCGGGGTTATAAGATTTTTTTGCTGTGGAGGTGTTTGCGTTGGGTTGGCCCGCCGATGTGACTGGCTCCTCTTCCGGACCCGTAAACGTGCTTAGTCAATACCCTGCTAAACTGCGTCTCTGCGATCCCTCTCTTTCGCGCCAAAAGCTGTCTGGCCGTTGCTGGGGGATTTGGGAGCGCAGCGATAAGGGAACTGGGCGGGAATGGCGCTGGGAAGGCGGAATCAGCGGGGGAGGCAATGTTGCCGACGACAGGATGCAGAAGGGGTGTGTTGATGCCGCCCCAATCAATTCAAGCTCCGCTCCAAAGTCAGCCTAAATCCAAACCCCGCGAACATGGATCCCACCACAATAGACCCCGTTTCAGCTTATCCTGACGTGCCCATCCGCGATTGTCGTCCTCCTCCGAACCCAAGCAGACGCCCGTCCACAATTCATTTATCGCCTACCCCCCCCTCCATTAAGCCACAGAAAAAAAAATAGTAGATTTCTCCTCGAGGCAGCGAGCAAGATATACTTCCATCTAGAGTGTACTTCCATTCTGGGCATCGGACCCTGCAATTCAGTCATGCGTCACAGGAACCAATCCAAACATGTCTCATGTCTCCGGCGGCAAATCAATGAGCCTAGGCCCTTCCCCTGTCCACAGACTCCCACAAATCGCATCTCAGCTGGACTGGACTTTCCTCCATCTAAAATCCTACCACCCTACTTCGTGCTTAATGGCACAGAAAGAGGACAAAAACCCCTCCTGACCAATCCCCCTGGCATGAATCCGCTCTCGGGCGGCAGGGGTCTTTTTAGCCTACTATCACCCCCACCCTGCACACTGAGTCTGCACTTTATCCTCGCAAGCCTGAGGTGTAGAACGAGTCAATAACATTTAGACAATTCTCGCCCAATCACAATCCCCAAATCAGCACCTCTGACACCAACTTTCTCATCAAACAAGTCACCAATTTCGCCTCTAAAGTGTCTTATCCACCGCAGTACCTGTCATCCTCTGGACAAAAGCCCAATAAGCTTTGATATGGGAGAGTTACGAGACCTTTCCGTCCCCGTTCCTCTCACACAGCCTCATGACTGTGGAGCGCGATGTCTAGATTATGTCTTCTGTCCCCTCTTCCTGGCACAGATGCATCAATTCGAATTCCTTCGGCAGGTTCGCACACTACCTCAGATTACCTCCTAGAGTCAGCTGGCGGCGACATTTTGTCTTCGAAAGCGGATGACGCGGTGGTTGGCGGGCTTCGCTCGGTTCTATGATCCACGCCCGCTTTAAGGAGGCATTTCGGGCTCCAGCTTCCTGCTGGGTCCTGGTGGGCCAAATGAAATCGCGAAGCCACTGAAGGTGTACTCGATCTAATTAATAATTCCACCGTCGGACCGTCGGTGGAAGCGTGAATCCCTTTCGCTTGGCTTCTCGTCCGAGTCGGGCCCTCGGAACCAAGTCCCTTCCTCGTCCGCAGTCCCCTCCTTCCCCTCTTCTTCACGGCCCTTGAGTCGACAAGGTCAGTCAAGAAAACAACACCCCCACAACCCACCTACATACTTACCCAACCTCCATCAATCTATCAATCATGCTTCATATGCAATCTCGAGGTCCGCTGACCCCCAATCTCCCCGTCCGTACGTACGTACACAACCCATCGGCCGATGTCTCGAGCTTGAGAGCAAGCGCCTTGAGGTCGCTGACTCAGTGACACCTTTACCACCGTGTGCTCTTTATTCCCCAATGTCCCGTCCCATTTTTACCGAATGGGAATCGAGAAATTCGAAGTTCGAGAAGGTCATGCAAATATCCAAGGAGGGCTAAGCGCTGTCGGAGGGCAACCACGGCCTTTCGCCTCTTTGAGTCTTCCCAAGCGAGCTGGTCTCGCCCTCTCGACCATACCTTTCGCGGGGGTGCTCTCAGCTCACTAATCCCTCGTCGGCTAGTAATCCTACATATTCCGCTCGTGTCTAAATTTATCTTCGATTTTCCGCAGAAAACAGAATTACCCACCCCGTACCCCTCACGGACAGGCACTTGGAAGCCTGCGTGAGCTCCACGTTTCTCAATCCCCATCGCAGGTAAAAGCCTAATTTCGCGCCCCGTGAACCTTTCCCTCCATTCACCGGGTACCTTTGCCCGACTTTCCTTCACCCACGCATCGAACACACATTCAGATGGACTGCATTGCCCCAGTTCTATTTTTTCCTCCAAGATCCACGAGCTACTGACCAACCATGCTACCCCACTTTCCAATCAATGACATTTTCCTGATCATCCAGCCACGCAATTCATTCGCGCTCGTTCAAGTTCTATTATCATTCGAATTCTCTGCTGAGTACTAAGTATATCGTGGTATATGCCCTACGCGCTAGCTATGCTATCGATCAGCCGCGCGAGGTTATTTAAATAGATAGATATGATGACTATCCGAGAGACCGACTATGAGTGATGGGAGGGTTAGGGGAATCGTATGGACTATCCCCAAGGCGCTGAATGAAATGTGAACAGCGAAACCCCATCCCCAAGGGTAATGTATGTATGTGATGTGTGATATGCGACGTAATGTGAAGCCCGAAAGGAACTCTAAGACAAGGGAAGGGGGTATGGGCAATAAACAGAAGACCGGTGACAAGGTACGACAAGAGAGGGAGAAAGAATAGGTAAGCAATAAAAACGAGCAAGAAGACCAACGGGGACGAGAGGAAGGGAGAGGGGAGAAGGAGAAGAAAAAAGGAAACGAGGGTGATGCCAACCGCTGGGAGGTAAAAGCTTAGGGTGAAACACCGGTAGCTCGACACGACGCCGAACTACCCCCACCTTGCTCATCCAGGCCAGACTCAGGCTCGCACCACCACGCGCGGTATCGACCCACCTGCCCATCCACAACACAGGACCCAAGACCACCTCCCCAAAACGCGGCCTGCAACTCACTCACTCCTCCTCCACGCCTCCCCCTCTTCCCCCAACCCCAAATTCCCTGGATTCACCTCCCGCTTATCCTCAGTCGCGATCGCGTGTGCGTCAAGCCACGAATACCCCTTCGGGCGGCACAGCACCGCGAACACGTTCCTCCGCCAGCTCCCGTGCGAGAACGGGTTTGGCGGGGGCGGGCCGGGAACAATTATTTTGTGCGCTTGGTTCCTTATCTAAGAAAGGGATAGTTAGCCGATCCGTGGCAATAGGAAATGAAAAAAGGAGAAGGGTAGGGGGT